CATTTTGATTTTGCAACTGCAGGCAACAGAGAGAGGCAGAAGTTCGTGATCTGTGGCAATCGCTTGACATTTACAAGGCGGCGGACTTTTGTTTTTAATTAGACGACTTCGGAGTAGGAGTCGAGCTCCAAGCTGGGTGGTCTCCGCTCCGTGGCTGATTATCGACGCGCGGGCTTAGATCTTTGCCGTCGATTAAGCTGCTTAATGCCATTAACATGATTAAGAGCCAGCCCCACTGGCAGCTGGCCCCACTTTGTGGCCACTCCGCATGGCGTCTCCACATTGGTTCGGGTAATTGCGTGGAAGTTATGATCAGAGGCATCCATTCACAACTCCCAGCACAGGAGTTCCGATCGGCTAATTGAGCAATTGAACTCTGATCGCAGATTGAGTTTTTAATTCATAATCAAATGATGGCAACGGAACTGCCCGGGGCTAGTAATCTCATTCTGTATGAAAGCAAAAACAGCTTAGCTTCGAACTATCCCGTTTGGCGGGCTTCTCTTAGGGGTGAGTGCTTTCGGGTCGCTCGGTGTCAAAGGTCAAAATGGACGAAAACTTCTCATGGGTCAGCTCGGGTGCTTAAAAAATAAATCAGGAACCAACTCGATTTCGGACACGGAAAAAACTAGTTTTACTACCAATTTCTGCTCGGTTTTTTGTACTTATTTCTCGAGCGTGACCTTTGAACTTAGCCCGAAAATCCAGAACGGGCCAATATTACCAGTCCGAACTAGAACTGTTCGAGTGTATGGGTATGCACTCTGTGGGAAGATTCTCGAATTTAGCCAGCTGCTTGCCGCATTTGAGGAGACTTTTATCAAAAGAACGCGCAGATAACGGCGGGCAAACAAACGAATTTGCCCGAAACTTATTTACACTTAGCGGCAACATTTGTTGGCATTCCGAATATCTCGGAGATAGTGAGAGATCTGTGGGATGCCATTCGGATTGCAGCAGTCGCCCGGCCGAGTCTAATTTTATGAATGAACCAACTCAGTCGAGGAACGAAGGAAGTGCGAGTATGCGTAATGCAGTAACAAGTCAACAAGCCAACCAAGTTCTAAGCTAATGAATAGAATGACTCTCGGAACCGTATGCAAACGCAGTTTATCTGGGCGCAAATATTTGCCACGATAATAGTGATGAGTACACTGCATCTGGGTCGGGTCGTTCTCGAAATAGTTCTCCTCCCAGATCCGCAGGTGAGCGGATCGTGTGGGAACCCATGTAGATCTCTATGTTTTCGGAGGTGGACAGAGCGGAAGTCTAGGGACCGATAAGAGTGGTTCCGATGTGGAAACATCTGTGGCTTCGCTTTGCATATCCATGTCCCACCTTTGAGTTCCTATGCTAATTCCATTCGACACATCCGGGATCGCTTATGCTCCGTGATATACGATTTCTTTTCGCTCAGCCGGTTAATTACTTTCCAAGTGACCACTTGGACCGATCGGCGACAGAAGCTCAACTCCACCGGAACCCTGACACCCAACACTCCTGCAAATTCACCCTCGATTTAAGCGAAAAGTAAATTACTGAAACCCAATAATTCTCACATTGGCCGCTGACTTTGATTGCTCCTTGCGGTTTCCAATTTCCAGGAGGGATCGAAGCGATTGCAAAAGGGTTGAGGGTAAGGGTTGTTCTGCCGCCCAATAATATTTAATAACAATTGATATAAATATTGAAAGTATTATTGAGTCATAATACGGACTGCGTTGGACGTGAAACTTGAGTTGGCTATGGCATTTCTGATCCCCTGTAATCTCATCGGACTTATCTTGGACGGCAGTGCGCTCGTAAATTACATTCGAACTGCTCAATTTTCAGTGTTATTCTGTTCGACGATAAAGGCTTATCGCGGGGAGAAAATTACAACTGGAAAGATAGTCCAGCTTCGGATTTCAGATCACGGCTCGTAAAAATCGTAAATAAATCAACTGAAGCGTTGGGAAAAGGATTTGTTAAGTTTGTTGTTTAAAGAAACTTGCAACTGAGATTTCCCCCAAGTCCAATTAAAATAATCTCCACTCTCATTTGAATATCTCCACATCCTGTATCGTTTCTCACGGAAATCTTTAAGAATTGGTTCCTGCTGGTTTTTTTTCCGTCGTCTCCACTGCAGTGTAACAAATTCCAATGGGCATCAGAAATGCACGTTGTGTCCCCAACTTATGGTTAAATATTTGAGGAATCAGCCTCAGCCATAAATTGTAATCTTCCACGGGCGAGTTGCCGTTAAAGATCCTGGCGCAGTGGATGTCACTTAAGGGTCTGTTATTGTTTTTTTAATACTTGTCCAGATGTTGCTATAAGGTTGAAACTCAGTTCGACGGGAAAACCGATGGAGTCCCATGTGTCAATGAATTTTTTCCCGTATTCAAATTCTCTGGCTGTCGGCTTTTTTTCTCACACTCTAGTTGTCGTGTAGCTAATTTGTGATTTCTGGTGTTTTCGGTGTTGGATTTGTTTTACGCTTGCCTTGGAAAACTATTTTCCGGCTATTGATTTCCACCGAGTGGATGGATGGCATAAAAGTGTTGGGATGATTTATTGACATGTTTACCGTTCGAAAAAGGGGGAAAATTCACTTATGCTTGGGTTTTCGCCTGGGAAAATACCACCGTACACCTGTTTATCTAGTGAATATCCTGTGGATGTCCTGTCCAACCTGTAAGCACATCCTGCATCCGTGTTTGCCGCAGGGCATCCACCAGGAAATCGAGTTGCTCCAAAATCACGTAAATATCGAGCAAAGTATTATTTACTTACCGCTGAGACACAACATTGAGGAAATCCAGATCGCCGGGTTTCCCAAGGATATTCAACTACACGAAAACAAAGCGGAAAACCCGAATTTTCCACAGTAATCCCCCCGTTCCTTGGATGTTCAGAGCGCCTGCGCACATACCTCGCTGCAATGAGAAAGTAATTTGAAGACCGCGAGAAAGGCGACTTCGTTGTTCACAGATTTCCAATTAGATTTTCCCACACAATGGAGCACCGGGGCAATAGCGTAGAAATTAGTCGCTTTATGCTTAATTAGGATTGCGTATTGGGTTTCCAGGAAGTGCTCCACGTGCAATTGCGGCAGCCACTTGACAGTTGATCTCTGATCTACCTGGGCACAAGCTGCGGTCTCGCTTTGTTTGCCGTTTAATTGCACTTGCAACTGCAACTCCACCACACACCCATAAAATCTCAACCGCAGGGTCCACAAACAAACTGAGTCAAGTGCAGAAACCCGCAAACGGAGAGGTTTGAAGGACTCCTACCTGCTTTTCAGTGCGCAGGCGCAGCGGTCTCGGTTTCGATTTCAGTTCCAGCTGCTGATTTGTAGATACAGGACGAGGTCGGAAGAAAAGGACTTGGAGTGGAAAGCGGACATGGCCGGTGGACAGCACTTTTGGCACTCGTTCTGCGGTCTAGCGGACATGTGTCCACATTTTTCTGTCGTGTCATTGAAGGAGGATAAAATTGGAATACAAGAGCTCGCTTGCGACAGACTTGAGGTCAGCGTGCCCACAAAAAGGGTTGGAGGAGGTTCAAGGCAAACATTAGTTAATCTGGAAAGTCAAACACAACAAATATGGGGTAATGAGATTTAAAAGAACAATATGCAAAATAAACGGAAACAAAACACTATTAGGAATCTGTAGTGAGGATTAATATAATTGCATTTTGTTAAGATCGAGAATTTATATTAAGTATTATAGGATTGTTTCATTCCTTGCCCAAATGATTCGATCTTTATTTTGCAGAATCTATAAAGTATTTAAAAATAATAAAATATTTATTTCAACATTAACGAGTAAGTTTTCTAGTAATTTTACTAAGTTCTTTTTGCTTCCTTTACTGAAATTAATCTCGCAAGGAATAAATTATTATATATCCCTTCTTGTTTTTTTTTTATAAATGACACAGAAGCATTGGAAAATGAAAAAGTTAACGAGCTGGAGCATCTGCGGTTGGGGTTGAGTCTTCTGGCATGTGTCGAGATCGTCTTGATTGCCTCGTTTGCTGTTTAATCGCTGTTGACGGGCATAAATTTCGCTCCATCCTTGGAGACCCCTCCACCCCAGCCCCTTCCCCCCTTTAAAGACACCCCTTTTCGGCTGATTTGTTTAGTAAACAAGCGGATTAGGCACCAGGGAAATTCGAGAACTCCCCAAGTTGGAAGCCAGCGAAGTGTTGCCCTGATTTCGGTAAGGTGAGATACTCAAATTGGGAAGTGCCCGAAATGGTTTCATTGACAACTGTCACCGCTCCGGACGCAAACATTCAGAGCAGACATTTCTATATTTGGAATCAGTTTCGGTGACTCAGAAATTCCCACAGTTTACCAACAGTTTTGGGAGAGGCTACAATTAAAATTTAATTTCAAAGCCCACACTAATTATGTTCTTTCCCCCGACTATAACTATGCCTAATTTTCCTATTTGAGCAGGAGTGCAAGAGTACAACCCTCTGTTTTTGTTCCTGGCGAGTCTCTGTCTCGATCCTTGTTTTTTCCCCTCGATCCTGTCGCAGGTGGCTCGTTTCAGAGTTTTTAGTTTTTGAGGGGAGAGCGGGCTTGCGTGCCTTTTCCGCGACACAGAGATTTCTCCGGACTCCTCGTACCAATTTTATAGTTTCCGGATCAAAAGATCACTTCCTGCGGGAAATATGACAGGATGCTTAGCTGACTTTGGTGGGAAAGTTTCATTACGTTGAGGAAAATGCTCGAATTGAAGTCCTGGCTTTTCGTGGTTAGCTAATGATATGTTTTGTCATGTGATAGACATTACTTGGTATTTATACTTAGGGAGCTCTGTTCTTTGGGAATTTCTAGATCAATTGTTTTGCAAGAATGGGGATCATAAAATGGAGCTCAAAAGTTCTTGAGTATAAATAATCATTAAAGTCGTATTTTGTAACTTTTTAGCATCTTTACTACTATTAAATGTTTTACCCGAAACTTACTACGTTCATTTAAGTTATCTGTCAAAAAGCGATTTCATACTTGACATTTACACTTTGAATCCTGTTTAAATATTTGTTGTCTAAATTGTTTTTTTGTATCGCTTCATTTACTACAATGCACCGCTGGTTTTTTGCCAACGAGAAGGAGGAGTGTGAGCCAAGGGACGATGATGATGGATCAAAGAAAAGTCAAGAGGAGGAAGCTCCTCCCACTCCGCCTCCGATTCGTACTACCGACTGGCCCTTCTGCGTTAAGTTTCACCGACCTCTTAACGGAAACGAGTACGTCGCCATAAGTGGCAACTGCGAATCTCTGGGAAACTGGGATCCCAAAAAGTTATATGTCTTGGAAAAGTACACCTGCTTTGACTGCATTTGCAATTGCTATCAGTTTGAAGCCACTGTGACGATACCCCGCAACATCGATATAGAATATCGCTACTGTGTGGTGATATACGATCCCAAGTCAAAGGAGATGTACATCCGCTTTTGGGAGGCGCAACTGAAGCCGAGGATCATAAAGACGTACTTTAACATGCTGAAGAAATGCGACAACTTTGGAACTCCACACGAGGAGGATGAGAACAATAGGATTGATCGAGGATGGGCCACCACGGAGACCATTGTGCACCTGAAGTTCTTCAATGCTCCTTTTTGTTGGCAACGTCAGAAACAAAGACTTCTGTATGTCCACATCCAGCCAATGTTCGAGCTTCAGCAAGATTCTTGCCTACAGCCGTCTCTTCCCGTCCAAAAAGGAGGGTCGACCACGCGATTGTCTCGCTATTTGGAATCCCGCAATTCAAAAATAGACGATATTGATCTTCAACTGGCCCAAGTCGAGGTGGTCAACCTCCGTGCTCCGAAACCTCTGGGATTTCAGCCGGATTTTGGAGTTCGTTGTGGTCGTGAGGACTTGCAGTTGTTCCACTGCTCCATAGCCTCCCCTTTGGAAACCCTTTATCGTATTGATTTGTATACCTATGCTTACAAGGCGGCTCCCGATGAACCACCATATATCTACGGTTACGGTTTCCTGATGCCGGATCAACTGCAGGGAACAGAGGGATGTGCCCGGGTTAAGATAGCCTGTGGCTCCACCCACCGTCCTTTGATGGAGTTGTGGGTGAGATACCTTATCATCAAGCCCCTCGAGAACTTCCACTGCGATTTGAGTCGCAGCTACGAGCGTTATTGGCGAACTGGTCAGTTGTGCATGAATATCGGACACAAGGGATCGGGAAATACCTACCGATTAAAAAGTGATTTGGTAAGAGAGCACACTCTATATGGTTTCAAACAGGCTGCCTTGGCTAATGCGGATATGGTGGAGTTCGATGTCCATCTTACCCAAGATGCACAGGTTGTGGTGCATCATGATTTTGTCCTGCGATTTTTACTGCAAAGAATGCCAAGTTATGATGAGCTATTGGAAAAGCAGGACCTTCTGGTCTTTCCCTACGAGAAGTTGAACAGACTGATGCTGCTTTCTATGGGAGGATGCAAGCGAAAGGACACTATTGCCGTTCCTTTAGAGTCTTTTACCTATGAACAGTTGAAAGATGTAAAAGTCCTGCGTTTTACAGGCAGCAAGGGTTGCGACGTGTCCTGCGACCGAATGGTGGAGGATCAGAGGCCATTTCCCCTGCTCCTCGATCTCCTCCAGGAGGAAGTCCTGCCCACCAGCATGGGTTTTCTCATAGAGGTCAAGTGGCCACAGCTGACCAACTGTCGGCGTTGGGAGAGCGGCAGTTTCAAGCCCACTTTCGATAGGAACTTTTATGTGGACACGATCCTTGAGCTTGTTCTTCAGAATGCCGGAAAGCGACGCATTGTATTCAGCAGCTTTGATGCGGATATTTGTGCCATGATTCGGTACAAGCAGAACATTTATCCTGTAACTCTTCTGCTTGAGGATCCAGAATCGCCAATCCAGTACTGCGATCAGAGAGTAAACGTGCTGGAAACCGCAGTCAACTTGAGTAACTCTCTGGAGTTTTTAGGCCTTAGTCTGCATGCCAATTCCATATTGAATAAGCCCGGTACGATGGCTTTACTTCATCTCTATGGCTTGAAGGCATTCGTGTACGGGAGTTCAACTTCGAGCTTGGACACTCGGAACATCCTGAAGCGCCACGGTCCCATGGGAATCATCTACGATCGACTGGATCAACTGGATCAAGCAGGCGAGGAACTGGAGGGGGACACCATCTGCACCATCGATTCGGTGACCACGAGACCGGTGATTCGGGAAACCGAACTGGAGGAGTGGCGCCAAAAGTGTGGCTACAAAGAAGAGTCTGTGATTGCGGTGAAAAACATATACATCGATTGATTCGATTGATTTGACTCATTCATCTGACTTCGATTTATCCCACCCACTAATAAAGTATCTAAAGTTATGTGTTCTGTGATAGCCGGGATAAGTCCCTTTAATGTAATCACCAGCTAGCCATAAAAGACAAAGGGCATTACACGACTAAGCCGAGAATATCCCACCCGACCAAAGCCAAAGTTACGACAATTGTCAACAGAGAAGGACCATGGCTAACCCCTTCGCACACCCCCCGCGAATTGGCAAACTCTTTTCGCAAACACTCGCGTCGAGGACGATAAGCTCATGTGAACTATTGCCGGGCAGATAAACAAAGGACCCGGCGGGTAGCTGATGGCGGAAGGGGTTAAGGTTAAGAAGCAGCGGTCCAGGATCCAGAATCCTGTTGGGCGGTCAAACGACACGGCGCATCGTAAACGATATCCCGTGGCGAATGGGCTTCCTTTATAGGCCAGTGCACACTTTAGCAACACTCACTCGTCGATGGTCGTTCGTCTTGGATCTGAGTCCCAGCCCAACCCCTTTCGGGTATTAATATCCTTTTGCATATCACTCACACACCGGTAGGAAGACGTTCTCTCAGTGGGATGTGGGTTTGCTTGTTGTGCAACTTCCCCCAACCCATTTTCGCTATTTATCATAATTTTTCAATTTAACACTGCCATACACTCGGGACGGAGCGCACACATCCCGGGAGAAAGACAACACCGCAGCCATCGTGTCCTTCTTCCTGGCGGATAGTTTCCAATGTTTACTTGCGCAAACATCCTTTGACGAACTTTGCCCATTGTCCAGACTTCGCTTTGATGACGGCTTAGTCCTGCCTTTGCTTTTTTGCATTCTCATCGATTCCATCTTTCGCCATATCAGTCCCTGTGTGTTTGCCTTGCAGGAAGGACCTTGCAGGCAAGACCCTACACTTCCGATCTTATGGCCATCGTCCGTTAAGGATGACGTTATTAATGAGCATTTTGACACTTACGTCTTGACATTTGCACAGCTGGCCGTTTGTCCCCGGACTTTTGGCCATTGCAGCGAGTGGAAAAGGTCAACTATCTGCTTTCTTTTCCCCGAAGCAATGATGTCTGCAATTTAAATAAATCTTTAATTATGTTTGCTTTAGCCAGGAATTTGGCCATAACCGTTGCGATGCAACGTAATATAAATTGTAATATAAATTGAAAATAAACATATTTATGGTTGTAAATATTGAAAGGGGATTTGATTGTGGATTGATTGACTATGAATATCACTGGAAAAAAACGAAGTTTGTATTCTGAAATATAAGGGTCTGCTTCATATATAGAAACCCTACTTAGGAAATGTTTATGCTTACAATTATTATTATATGGAAAAATACAGCTTTATTTTATAACCAGAAAGCAGTTCATTTAAGTTGCTTGTAGTTCCTTTTGACTAATTTGTACTCCTTTTCATTACAATTTGATATGTTATTATGTAAAAGTAAAATAGCGTGCATAATAAGTTTCATAAAACATTTTAATAAATATACCTTACACCTTTTATTACAACCAAAAAATCTCTCTTAGAATATAATCAAATTAAATCATAAATCCCGGAATATTAAAACAAACTTTACAATTTGATATGTTATTATGTAAAAGTAAAATAGCGTGCATAATAAGTTTCATAAAACATTTTAATAAATATACCTTACACCTTTTATTACAACCAAAAAATCTCTCTTAGAATATAATCAAATTAAATCATAAATCCCGGAATATTAAAACAAACTTTTATAGCTCTGGAATCTCGCAACTTTTTGTGCTGGTCGACACTGTCCGGTTTGCGCACACGGCAGCTGTCTTCGGGCGATCGGATGACCACCCCAACCCATTCGCTTCCAGCCCATTGCACTCCCTGCTCGGCTCGTCTTTGTCCGGGATTGTTTGCCTTCAATTTGACTACAAACCATAATTTATCTTTTCAGACGTGTTGGTCAGCGCGACAATGGCGGGCCAGCGACAAGGATTATTGATTATGCAAAGTGCCCGGTGGCCAGGACAATGCCGGGAAAACAAAGGCTTAAGCAAAGAGAAGAAAGGATTCCGCAAGGAGTCTCAAGCTGGGCGAAAGGGGTTGCTCTACCTCGAAGTGGACAGTGGACAGCGGTCAGTGGAGTTATGGAATGTCCGTGTCGGAATCTGACGAGCCGGGAAAAAGTATCCCCTTACAGGACACAGCGCGTGTGTTTTCGCCCATTAGAGAGATAATAGTTCCTGACGTTCCTCGTCCGCCGAACGGCTTCTCAACCTTTTCGGTGTTAATGGTCAGTTTCGCTATTTTGGCATGGTTAATTAATATCCAGCTCCGACTGAGTGTGAGAAAGTTGGAGGCAAAGGTGAGACTGGGCGAGGTGAGAGGCCCAAACTGTTGACGGATGCTGATGGATTAGGGAGTAATTAATGATCTAGCCGATTCAACGGCTCCTCAGAGGTAACTGTATCTGGTTTTGACCATTTAATCGATGGCTGTTAGGGAACAGGACCTTTGATTCAAACTAAACTGGTTCAGTTGCACATTGTGTGACCTCCATTTATTGTTTCAATTTCATGAAAGAAAATAATAGTACCTTAGTTTGGTACGATATCAAAATCAAAATCAAAATCTTCCCAAATAACTTCAATATAAATAATATGAACTATATAAATAAAAACATGATCTTTATTTTTGCATTAAATAATCTTTAATTTCCTTAATGTAGTATTTGTTGGCGATTGATGATAGACATATTCTGTTTATATATCACTTCTTTTTAAAATTTAGAAGAAAATCCTCCTAAAGGCAGATCTGTTTGAAAAGTATTACTTTGACCTTCTCAATTAAGCTTGAAGAAAACCATTAATCGGTGAAAGTCTGCGCAATATGGTTTCCCCCTCAATCGAAGATTGCTGGCACAAAGAACTGTTTTCAGCAGAGGAATATCAATTCCGATGAATCGAGGGGAAGATTCTGCGGCTTCTTTTCGCCCTACGAGCTAATTTTTTCTTGATGTTTCCACTCAGAGATGTTTCCACCCAGTGTCGTTGCAGACAGTTGTTGATAAGGAGCATTTTGTTCCAGCAAGTGGCTGATAAGCGCCATTTAAGAAAGCGACTGAGGCGAGGTCAATTGACCTGCTTTTAAGCAGCGGCTTGTGTACGTCCGTTCATCAAAAAGCGCTCTCGAGATTGCCGCCCCCCGAACGCCACCCTCCGCCAACCCAAAAAGCAGCAGCGCTAATCTTTCAGTCGAGTGTCCATCTTTGTTTTCGTTCCGTCGGGCTGTCAATTTTCAGCCCGAAAATGTAAACAAACCGCGCATAGAAAAATATTAAAAAAGTTCCACACGCTTATAATTAGCAAATAAGTAGCTCCAAGTGTTTACACAGATGCCGCTTATCAGTTATCAGTTCGCTGAGGATGCAAAGTGGTGGCCACATGAGAAGTGGAGCTCCCCGATTATTTCAGCTGCCACACTGAACTTTTGTCCTGCGAACGCGAATGCAGCCGCATTCCCTGATCTCTGGCGACATCAATTTTTAGGGTGAACAATTTCAATTAGGTTCACGTTGAACCGCGATTGAGATTAACACCGTGGCCAGCCAGCCAGCAGTAGTTTTCTGATAATGCAATTGTTTCGCAATCGCCAGTGTGAATTTGCGTAATTCACAATGAAATGGAAGAGGCGAATTGTATCCCACGCTGCGAAAGACAAAGGCTGCCCATTGGCGAAGGGACAATAGGTGGATACTCATGGCAGTTATTAGAAGCGCATTAGGGTGCCCACTCACAGGAGCAGCGATACGTGCAAGCTGCGCTTCGAGATACAGATACACGTTCTTCAAGATAGCAGATACTTCAAGCGACGACGGCTGCTGCTGCGGATGTTTTCTACTGCTGCTTAGGATCCAAACAAAGGCGCCTTTTGTTGGCTGCTTGGTCGGTCGGTTGGATGGATGGATGGGTTCAGAGCCCCCTCCACTCTTGGCCAACCGCAAATGACGCAAAATTGTCGCCGAGCAGAGAGTTTACCCACGCACACTCACACTCACACTCGCACTCAAATCGCTTGACAAGATAACAAGATGCAACTGCGAGATACGAATGGCCACAAAAATACCGTTTAATGAGGCGCTCGCACACAGCTTGACTATTTCCCAGATCTTATCCGCAGAGGGAGTCACTCACTCAAAGGATATTGGCCGGCTGCCTATTCTCATTGAAATCCCTTCCATTCTTCCTGCCCTTTACGGGTTCTTCTGGGCCATAACTCTTGTTACTTTATGCACCCGGCTTTGTTTGACCACAAAGTGTCCCCAAAATCGATTGAATTACCCGCTGCCTAACTGCTTCCTTCCGCAATTCATGTCAAGTCCTAAACTCAATGGTTTAGGACCCCAAAAATGTGCAGCGTCAACTGTTAAAAAAGATATAGTGGAACTGCACTTTTTACAGAAAACTACCAATGAAATTAAATATAAACTACTGGCTAGGGTATAAATTGATGCCGTCAGCCCTTCACATTTTCCTTAAAAACCCTGAAAAGGATAATTCAAACGAGCACTTGAGACCCAACTGAAAGAGCCTCTTTGCACATGAATATGTAATTTCGCCAGGATTTGAATAGAAGGATGCGACAAAAAGCCTCAAGTGGCCGTTGAAGGATGTGTAGCAAGTGTGGGTGGAATATGAAAAGAATCAAAATTAAGTGGAAAGTTTCCCAGCTCATCAGTGACTTGCGAGGCAAAGGGAAAGCCTAATTCAAATGCGCCGCAAAACCTTTTTCGCCATGACAACACATATTAAACGGGACTTAAGCCGTAAACAATGCGGTTTTAAGGCCATTTGCCACACCCTTTAACGAGTGGTCGCTGAAAACTTTAAGCGATTAGCGCAATTTAGCGAAAATAACATGCGAAATTGCGCGCTCGAACGCCTTTTCAATGGCACTCTGTGATTCGGAACAGATAGTGCAAAAGGGGAATCCCGCTGAGCCGCTTTTCGAGCCCACTTAATGTGGGAAAATCGTCGTCACTTGTCATCGCACGCCCACCTCGGCAACGCCCTCGAACAACCCTCGTTTCCCACACACACAAACACACGACTCAAAAGTGTTAAGACACAATGGGCCCAAAACACAATTGTTGCGGATCCGGAGATCTGGAGATCCTCTCATCGCCAGAAGCGGATTGCCCATGCTAATCGTCAGATGCGTAAAACTCACTGAACATTCAAGTGTCCTCACAAAGGAGCTAAAGAAGCAGCCAAAGAAGCTACTGAAAAACAAACAGATGAGATCCCGAACCCATAATCCTTTCAATGCGCCACTTAAGCCGATCATGAGGAAACGGGACCTTAAAAAACCCTTGCCGCATTCCAGGACCCCGACCTTTGCAACCTACGCGTGCAGCCTCCTTCGAGGATCCTTTGTGGACCATTTAGTGAATGCGGTTCGTCGGGTGTTTGGCCCATTTGTTCTGGGGGTTCGCCATTCGCAACTCACAACTCGCAACTGAAACTCGACAAATTAGGCCACTCAGCTTCCACTGGCCTTTGTTCGCCTTTTATCCTTTTTTCGGATGCTTTGTTTGCCCTTTCCTTCTTAATGCCCAAGATCATAATGTTTGCGTCGAAGGGTTGATCTCGTTGATCTTGTTTTTTTATGAACTGGATCACTAAAGGGATCCGATGTGATTTATTTGTTTGTATATCTGCAGCAGGGCTATCTCGATCTGGGACAGTCGAATGCTGTTTGAGGACTGCCTCTTAATTTGGCTTGACTTTTGCACTCTCATCTTTGGTTTGCTGCACGTGCCGAAAGATTGGAATGATATGTGTATGTTGAACGATTGGAATGATAACTATTTAAATAGACTAATATTTATTAAAAATTACTAAACAAAAAAATAAATAAATTAATAATATTTTTATAAATATTTCTATGACTACCAAATATAAATGCTGTTTTGTGTTTACCTAATAATAGACTGATATCTCAATAGTTTATTGGCCTTTAAATTATTATTGCGCACAAGAGTATTTTTGGCGCATTCGTTTACAAATAATCTTAAGCCAATTTTCAACTTTCGCTGCTACGCAAATTGTCCATTAGGCTAATTACGCAAACATTCGTGAGTTTACTTATCCGAAAGGCTGAAACGCAAACCTCGCGCTGAACTCAAAAATCTGTTGATTGATGGCAGCATTGTTCGCGACTGTCAGTTGCGCCGGAGCCATGCAAAAGCGATTGTCTGGGCACCCGGAGTGGACTCGGATTACACCTGGACTTGGTTGGGCCTCTGGACCCAAAGACTGCGCAGAGCAAACAGATTATTTTCATAAATTAGACTTTATTAATGACTAAGGAGACAGCTTTCGAGACAGGACGGTTGAAGGACAACGGGTGAGAAAGGGGTTGATGGGGATGGGATAGCCTCGAAGGATGCGGTCGAGGACTTACAAACTGGACAGTGGTCAGCGCATTGGTCAGTCACGCACGTAATTCCGGCATTACCCCTTCGGGACGACAACTCGCAACGGGATAGGCAGAGTTCAGAGGTCACCACCGTACTTTTTCTTGTTTCTTCTCACAGTCCGAGCAGCAGGAAACTTAAGACGTTTTCACGATGAATTTTAATGATTTTTGTATTCAAATGCGGATCGCTCCAACCAGTTTGGACGGTTCCTCCAGCACCCAAGGGAGTGTCCACTGAATGGCAGGACGCGTATCCTGCTGACGGCAGGATTGGCCCATCGCCCATCGGTCAAGCTCCTTGCGAATTCCATCCAAAATGGCCAATGTCCAATGTTCGCTTTTCGCTTTTATTACGGCCAACTCTTTGTCTGCTCGCCTCGACAAAGGGGTCAATTCAAAAGGGCAACAGTTGATGTCCAGGGCGCATGTGTTGAGTCCTAGAATGGGTGGCCATTTTGTGGCGAGCAGCAAGCGAATGAAATGTATCTGAATGAAGAAAAACGGTTCTCGATAAAAGTTTCATCGAGTAGTTAATGGCGGAGCTTAAACAAAACTAAGCTAACTGGAAAAAGTTGAGACAAATTAAATACAGATAAATGTATAAATACCCAGAATGATTTTATAAACTACATTTTTATTATATAAAGAGGAAGCCTGAAAAAGGTAATTATTATATCCGGTGAGGAAAGATTTTCTCTACGAAGAAATAAACTCTTCAAGTGAACTTTGTCCGTTGACTCGTGTGGACCATAAAAACTTTTTATAATTTTATTTAAACGGCATTATGCTTTGGGTCCAAATCACCTCTGCACATGAAATTTCCCGTCTTTTTATGGCTCTTTAACTGCTGGCCCAACGCTCTTTTAATGGCCTCCACTTGACCAGGCCACCTTAGTTGGTTTGTTGACACCTGCAGCTCAATTTCGGCTTTCTTGGAGTTGCGGAACCAAATCATAAGACCAATTTCAAGTTGTCACTTCTTGCTGGACGGGCTTAAACTTTGAACTAGGCCGGCAACAACTCACTCTCGAAATCTATTTGCAGGTAGAGCACTTCCGGAAGATTTCGAGCTCGTTAAAATCCCCAATTTAATGAAGATAAATCGTAGTTGGTTTTTGTTAACCAAAAGCAATCTGACTGAGAAACTGTTTGGGTTTGAAATTTCACCTTTTCACATCGGCGCGGGATGTAAAAGCAACTTCCCAGCGAAACGGCGACTGCGGCAACGGTGACATTTAAATTAATAAACTGTCGGAGAGTTTGGGCCGTAACAGGCGCGTAACTGCAGTCAATTATTCGGCCGAAAATATCCTGTTTCCAGCATCCAGTTTCCACATCGGCAGCGTCGTCATCATCATTATTATTAACACTTTCCACGGCTGCGGGCTCGCTTGCCACTTGAACTTCTTTCGGCCGCGGATCGGGTTGTTCCTCTTATTGTGTTTTTGTAATGCTATATAATTACGCTATCAAGTTGACTGATGACACGGAATGAATCTTTGTCGCTCCCTCGAACAACATAACACTCGCTCACCCAGAATCTGCATAAAATAATAATTTTTCTTTGCAGCAACCCGAGGGAAACCCTTTTGCCCCGTTTAGGGATACTGACGTCCGGGTTCGACTTTCCCTTGAATGGCTGCGAATCGAAGAAAAGAGTTCATCTGAAACGATCCTGTAATCAACATCCAGGAGTTTTGAATATAAAAGCCAAAGTGTGTTTTAATTATTGGTTATCTCTTAAATATTTTAACATATATTTATTTTAAATAAACAAGTAATTTTTAATAATGCAGGGAAATTCTTCTTGAAGCAAACAAAAGAATTATATTTTTAAATCTGTTTAATATTTTTGAATATCTCGAGTTGACTGTTATTTAATGCTATTCACATGATTCTTTTATTTTAAAGGTGGCAATCCTATTGATCTGCAAATGTGTACCATGAATGGGCTCCAAGTGACTTGCAATGAGCTAATCCCTGCCATATGCGTTCCTTCTTAGCCCCGATCCGTCATTGGGCACAATCGGAGGTGTCAAAATTTTTGACACTTCAATTTCTTGTGCTCGGAAAAAAACACGAGACAAATGAGCAGCGCGTGTGCTTCCTCATTGCTCTGCATGCGAATATCCTGGCAGGAGGACATATCTGTGTTTCGGATTGGTTTGTGTAGGTGCAGCCGTCGTCTGTCAAATGCGTCTTGTCATGCATCAAAAAAAAAAAAAGAACTGAAAAGAGAAATGAAAGGAAGTTGAAAGCCAGAAAGAAACGAAGTCAAAGCAAACAAAGTGAAATGGCAGCGGAGAAAATTAAATTGAAAATTTCAACACACGGTAAAGGTGGGGGAGGGGAAGTAAGGGGGAGGGGAGAGGGGAGGTCTGCCACCAGGTTGCCACAGTTGACTCTTTTGATAAACAAACAGACAACAGACAGAAGCATTGCGAAAATGTTGATTACACCCAGCGATGAAAAACCAACCACAGTAACAGAAGCAATAAAGCACTGACAAAAATATCGGACTTTAAGTTCTATGAACTGAGAATTATAGATTTTTTATATTTCCTACATTTTAATAAAAAAAAATAAATTAATTGTAAAACAAATTTTAGTTGCCTTTATTTTAAAACAGAACGTGTTAGTTAACTTACAACCAAAACAAGTTTAATTTAGGAAAGAAAAACTTTATTTCTTTTATAAAAACAAGTTTTGTAATTTTGATAAATTAAATATCTAATATTTAAAATTGTAATTTAATGAACAACTTTTCACCTACATTATCGAAACTATTTAAATTTAAAAAACATTTTTTTTAAGTGTTGCTTAAATAACAGGACAGTGGGACACATGAGACCGCTGCTTCCGCCTTTGAGTCGCAGCCGCCAAAGGACATGCGCCAAAAAAAATAAAAATCAGAAAAAAAAGGAGAAATGAAAGCCGCTGAGGAAATGAGAGAAGCGGGCAAAAAATGAAATAAAAATCCATTCGCGACTCGCAGCTCACAACTTTCATGTGTATCCATGTCAGCTTGGCTTTTGTGCTATTTGGAACGAGTTGTCAAATAAAGGCGGCAGCCAGGGGAAAAAAAGGAGCCAGGAGCCAGGAGCTGGATCGTTGACTTGGCTGGCTGCCATCAAAATGGCGTCTGGCCCGGCAAGGACTTTAAAAAAGCTGCTCGGAAATCGATGTGGAAAAGTCAGCTGCGCTCTTTGGTGCTTTGCCGTCCACGTCGTCTCACCTGTCGCAGGACAAACAAATTTTAATCAAAATAAAAATGAAAAAAAAGAGAGCAAAGCAGAGGGAAAACTACAAATCACATTTCCTGTGGCAACATCAACTTCCTGTTTGGCATGGAAATCTCCTAGTCAGCGTTTCACACGCCTGACAACTGCAGCCGCTTTGATGTTGCATGCAGCGCATTTTCCGCTGTGTGTCACTTAATTGTCAGTCAGTCAACGAGAGTCGAGAGTCCGTCAACTTGGTCAGTCATGCACTCAATCAGTGGCAGGACACTCGGGAGTGGTGGTCAAAACAGGACAACAGGAGCAGTTCACCCCCGCGACTTTCAGCGCTCGACGGTTCGCCGTCCTCCCCCTCGATGAAGTGCAGTTTTTTAGTTCCGTTCCAGGAAGTCCGACTTCCTAAGCGGAACTCGCTGCATTATCCTTCCATGGGAATGCCAGGACTCGCGGGGTGGCAACTGCGAGAGGACCACAGGACCAAAGTTTTAATCAGTGACTGCGGTTCTTTGTGGTTTATGTTGGCAGCTCCTAATTGAAGCAGTTAGTTGCGTGCTCTGACTGGAACCCTTTAATTGATACCTCCTCAGTTGGGAATACTATAGATTGGTACAGCACTGATAACAGACTTTTGTGGAGTAATTTTTAGTGGGAACTAAATTCAAGAATAAATGCAGCTTATGTAGTTTACGAAATGGCAACTGATTTTTCTTTCAATTTCCTAACAAATTTTAAGATTTTCAATTGTAAAACTGTTTGCAAATGGGTTACCATAATTAACATGTTGAACTATCAAAAAAAGTTTATATAATAAAGCTGGAAAAAGAAATGAATAATTTTTCCTTTAGATCAGAAAACCACATATCTAAAAGTATTCCTGCCACAGAATCCATTTTTTAATAGAATGTTTATGATTACAGAGAGTACTAAAAGTATGAAATAATTTAAGATACAAATTCGATGAATTGGAATCAATAAGTTTTGGTTATAAACTTTTGAAGATCTCATTATTGAGTTGTAATCCATCTGCTTAATGGTCTTTTGCACCTCATTTGTTAATCATACTTAATGCCCCCAAAGCAAACCGCACCTGCGGCCCCACCACATCGGAGTGGCTGAGCGATGCTTAGCCGGAATAAATCTAGCATAAAGATGCTTGACATTATTCAAAACACCCAAACTACAGAATTCCCCAAATGCTTCTGAGGAGGAGGAGGAGCCGAATCGAGATGAAGCGAGCAGTTGGACAGCGCGATAATCCGTCGACGGGATGGGCAAAAAAGGCAATAAAATTTAATGCCAGACGAGGCAGCCGCGAGATCGAGTGGAGCGTGGAACGTGGAGCGTGGAGGCACAAACGACTTCATTTTATCTTAATGTGCTAATAAATTTTCCCAGAGACGAAATCTCTGCCAAAAACCAAATAAATTTACTAATACGGGGAGAAAAGAGGGGCCCATGTCGCCGAAAATGAAATGGAGCGCCAAGTAGTTGAGTGAGTGGCATGCGTGGAATCGAAGAAATGCAATTAAGGCAGCCAAATCATCTGGAGAACCAGCCCGCATGCCGTCTTAAGTGTTTAAGTAGCTAAACGCCTGACAACCGAAAAAGTTATGGCCCGGCCTGCAGTTTGAAGTTGGCGCGTGCTCCGCGGTCCAAAGATGTGGGTGCTCCATCGAAAGTATTCTGTCAACACAGCGGATAGCGAATGGAACATCGGGTGATCCTCAACCGATCTCCACTTGAGTTGGAGGATGACAATTCCACCCCGAAAGGAGTTTCACCTCCCCGAACGAATTGCTCAAGTGAAGTTGCCCTAAAAGGGTTCATGCCTCGAACTCGTAAATTTGATAGCAGCCAAGTGGGGGAAATGTGGCACCTGAGTTGGCCGATGGGGCAGGAAAATTCATTTCGAATGGTTTTTCAAATTACCAGACTTGATATCTCGAGTTTTATGATCGTTTGATGGAAAATCGCAATTAATATGACATTTATGACTTTAACAGCTGAGGAAATGAAAGATGAAGAAACTTTGAAATTAAATATAAAATTAAAGTGAAGATTCAAAAGGATGAAATATACAGAAAAATTAAAATTAAATTTTGGGATTATAGTGAAATTTCAATAGGACTGTACTGAAAACTAAAGGTCAGTTTTATCCCATTTTTCATTTCCTGAAGTGCGCGCCTTTCAGGCGGTTGCCACCCCTAAAAATTGTCGCCCAAGAGTCGCCCGACTATATATGCAATCTCATATGCATTATTTTGCATGTCTGGCGAGTTAAGGAACTCAACCGTAAAGGTCAAAAGATCAACGCTGGAAGGGGAGAACGAAGAGGGAAGGAGGGCGGTTTTTCTTAAGAATTCCTCTAGTTTTCCCGTGTTAATGCTCTGATTTCAATTTCGAAAAATGTATGCAGCATTTGCATTTGTCCATTGTCCAGTTCGCTGATTAGGCGTGAAGTTCGGGATTTGAATAAGAGCCTTACCTTGGGTGGCAGAATGCAGTTACTTCTTTTGGCGGGAAAGAAAAATAATGAGAGTAATCAAAGAAAATGGAGTAAAGTCCCAAAATCCATTATCCCTAGAAGTTTGATGTACATTTAAAGCAATCAATATATTTTTTTTAAAGATATTTGTATCAGCTTTTTGAAAATTTTTTTTATACTTAAGAATAATTTTACGAATAAGCAAAGAACATGAAAAATGTTTTGAAATGTGCTACTTCTAGATTTATTTTTAAGTCTCTATTTTTTTGTGTTATTGTACTACAGCCAAAGTATAATAAGTAAATAAATTCATTGCATCCTCTGTTATTTTTTCTACTTCCACTAGTTTTTAAGAGTCTTCCGAAGAACGGGGTCAACATCTTCTAATTAAGGTCACTTCCATCCCAGCTCCCTAGGCCATCAATTTTTTGGCGAGCAAACAGCCTTACAACACGTTCCGCCTTATTATGACCATGCGAACAAAGAACAATAAAAAACAGGGCAGATTTTTACCACCCCAGCGGGGCCGAGAAAAAAAAACACTTAAAAAATTTGCAAACATGTTTTGCATACAGCAAAACCGATCATCAAATATTCACATGCAATCAGGGGAAATCTTAGGTAAATTTTCACCCAGAACAAGACAAAGCCGAGAAAATGTCTGGAGTGCAACCACCGAACTTGGGAGACGTCCAGCTGCATGGGAGACCCACGTCACGATCACGATCTCGATTATGGGACAGATCTTTTGTGCAAACTGGAGCGAACAAATGCGAGTGCGAAAATCTACCCCGTAATCCCAGAGAAAAATCCCAAATTAAACTTGGCCAGACAAAAGATTGCGAGTGGTGGGGGAAATTCAAATGTTTATTTGCGTATCGAAATGTGCAAATTTTTCCTATTCCATTTTCCATTCCTTGCATATTCATAAATCTCTTGGTTGAAATTAAATTTAAATTCTCGACATTGTTCTATGTTTGCTGGATGTTGAAAGGGGGGGCTTATTCAACGGAAATGAAAGAGAAGTCTTTCCGCACGAAAGCCAGTTAACTGGCGCTGACATCACCTGTCCAAATCGAGTGGCCCAAAAAGTCCAACACGATAATTGGTGTCACAAAAGTTAGTTAAATCATATTGGACGTCAGTCAAATCGGTGACATTCCCAAATTAGAAAGAGCCACCAAACAAAAGTTGTGGGGCGGCGGCGACTTCTCCATTGCGTGTTGATTGCCACGGCCATTGTTTTGATGGCACGCCAAATGGTTTCTGTTGCGGAGACCATTTCACCTGTCAGCCAAATGGACAGCGGGCTGAACACACAATTACCTCCGGCTCATGACGACGGGGGCGTGTCGGGTGGCGCTTGTGGTCTAAATGTCCCCGCTGCGCAGCGGTAATAATCACAAATTTACAGCTCGTCATCGGGAACAGCGTTATGTCATTTGATGTTGGTTCCGATTGCGGCAATTATATGTAAATTAATTACGGGTTCAGGTTCAGGTTGGGCCCAACATTGGGGCTTACCTCCCACTGAGCAATGGGGATGCCTTTGCCCCACCCAAAAAACCCTGATACTTCGAACTCACTGCCTTTCGACAAACTAGTTGCGGCATGCAAATTGACAAGCCCACGAGTCTGGCAAGACAACTCGAGATACAATGTGGCAAAGCCTTTTCCGCAAGTGGCGGAGACAACTCAATGAGGTCTGCAAATGCTATGCTCGATTGAGGATCCTCGCGCGGAGTGAGTTAACTTGAAATGGCAGATTCAGCTACAGATTCAGATGCAGATGCAGATGCAGATTCGAGATGCAGTTGCAGATACAGTTGCGAGTTGCAAGTGTGCAGCTGCCAGCAATCGAAGTGGCGCGATCATGTGCAAAATGTTTCTGTTTCTGTTTCTGTTTTTTTTTTTGTTGTTTTTGGGGGTATCGCCATTTGGGGGGAGCACTTGACACGAAGAAATAATTCCATTGAGTTGGCAACTATGCCGGGAATCTCGAGCGAGACAAAATTAGACAAGAAGCGTGATTTACGGAACCCTTAAATCACATGACAACAACACAAATCGAGAATCGAAGAGCGAATGCGACGACAGTGTCTGGGCAGCACATGTGTGCCGATGGAATGGGTGTAGGAATGGGCCTGGAAGTGGGACTGGAAGTGGAACAGGGAGGCGGACAGCGACACTGATACCAAGTCGATCGATCGGAGCTTCCCCCCGGCAGTTCCACTGATTTATTGCCATGCAAACGGGCGACAGATCAGACAACTTGAGCAGAAGCAGATCAAAGTGAATCGAAGAGTCTTTGTGCCCTGGAAATTTTATATGCTTGTGCCGGGCACTGATCATCGATCAACGATTGCTGATTGCCGATCATGGGGTATTTCCAGTCAGCACAAAAAAGAGACTTGTTGTTGTTTACCTACTTAAGAATCGAGACGATTCTAGCAGCCTATCAGCTTTTTGTCAGCTCCTCCCGATTTCCGCATCGCTGTGGTTTCGCCCAAAAAAAACAATACTTTGTAAACAACATCGGGATGACGAACACTTCACACCTTTAATTTGGCTTGCCAACGAGTTTTCAGCATGATTAGAAAAAGTTGGCCTAAGACTTGGCATCACATTGTGCTAGATATGCTACCATTCCCCAATAAAAAGCTTAGCATCCCTGAATATTTTATATAAATTAGCATCCAAGGAAAAATATTTAATTTAAATATATTCAAGTATTCCAGACAAAATTTTACATTAAGAAATAGAAGGGAACCCCCTGAGAACTTGTAAACCTTTTAAACAAATATAACCGCAAATAAATTTGCATTGATTGGAGAGCACGAAATATCTGCTCGAACCTGTTTATAGATTTATTTATTTCGTCATAGAGTTTGGGAATATTTTTTTGGAATTGCACAATAGGAAACCGCAAAAGCCGGTGGGATTCTCATTCGATGTTTGTATTTAGTCACCTGGTTAGAACAGGTTTCCCCGATTTGGTGGGCATTGTGTTTTGTTTAGATTGTTCTTGAATCTCATTAATATCGAGACGATAAATGCTAGAATCTGCGTGCCAAGTCGAGTATAAAAGCGCTTCACAAGTGCCGGCTTTAATCAGTTAACCCCGAAATTTCTTTGTTATTGGAAGTTCTCGTATCGAAAGTGAAAATGCGTAGTGCGATTTTGTTCGGCCTGATTGTTTGTCTGGCTTTTAGCCTGGTTGTTTCCCTAGAGGAAACTGAAAACCAATCCAACGATCTGTCGTCTGTGGAAAAGGATATTGGCCAAGCCGTGGAGTCTGAAGTTCGAGCCAAGCGTCAATTCCTCGGTGGCCCAATTGGATTTGGAGGACCTTTCGGTGGATTTGGCGGACCATTCGGAGGAGGTTTCGGTGGTCCCTTCGGAGGTTACGGTGGCTACGGCGGAGGATTTGGCCGACCATTCTATGGAGGATACGGAGGATATGGCCGTCGCTTCTACGGCGGAGGTCCCTTCTTTGGCTAAACATATTACTTAATATTTCCACAAATAAACGAAGACTGAAGATTTAGATTGTGTGTGTGTGTTTTTTCGTTTGCCGGGGATCTGCGGAGTCCCAAATTATCTCGCAACTTGACCTCGACCAAATGAATGTGTGTGACCCAAAACGACGACGTGATTGGGGTGCTGGGGAATATTTTAAAAATAAATAACAGAAGATCTCCATTTATTTATTAGTGCATTTTCCAGGTCTTGCTCCCGAGCCATGCTAATTATAAAAGTCCAGGAGGGTGTGTTTGTTTATGTTCCGCTGCCTGTCACGATCTGTTTGCCTTCTTTTGGGGCACTTTGCAGCTCCTCCTCCAGATTAGGAGGCCTGTGTGGGAGTTTGCCGTGGCTTGCGGCAATTATCACGTACGATTGTCATAATTATCATTCGGATTTTATTAGCTGGACCCGCGGGCCAATCTCTGTCTGCCTGGATTGGACGAGTCTTTGTTCTGCAGAAGCAACAGCCAGATAAATACGTAAATATTTGAGGGCTGTCAGGGTGCTCATACAACTTGATACCAAGTTGTCTGCAAAATTTAGCCATTCATCAAGTTAACAATTAGGCATTTAGCAGTCAGCTAATCAAATTTGCAGCATATGCGCTTAATATTCCACGGAGTTTTATTGGCTCACCCGCAACGATGTACTAATCCCCTTCTAATCAACATGAAAGCCGCGTAAATTATCCTGCTGCATATTAACTGGCGGCCAAAACCACTGATAGATTTTTATCGTGGGTTCGAGGGGTTCGCGCAAACAAAACGTCCAACTCGCTGGCTTACCCCAAAGCACAGTACGCCCTCGATTTGATGGAGGGGGAGGGGGATTCGGGTGGTGCTGTCATTGTTTAATTGTCAATAGACATCGGCTTCTATCAATATCATAAAAGCTAATAACTCTCGGTTGGCTGGACGAGCCGCAACGGACAATCGGGCGAACCTGGGCCAACCCCTCGTTCTAATCCCACCGGATATGCTCAATCAAGGCTCAATGTGGGTGGATGTGGTTTGTGGCTAGTGGGAGGTGGAAGGTGGGAGGTGGGAGGTGGGAGGTGTGAGGAGGCCAAAACCCAACCTGTTCATTGGGGGTTGCTCGCTGGCGGGAAATCATCGCATTTCATTCATCACTTTTCGCCTTTTCAACGCGACCAACCCTCCACGGATCCCCGAACAGGACTTGGACATGCTTCCCTCTCTCCTCTCTTTCTTTTCGTCCTGGCTTGTTTTGATATTAAAATTGCGTAATTATAATTAACCACATGTGTGTGTGTGTGCTAGTGTGTGTGTATTTGTGTGTGGGGGGAAGCGGTTTAGCATGTCCTTTGACTGCTTCCGCTCGTCGGTTAAAGTTACTTCCTCCCGTTAATGTCACGTGTGTAACTCGGTAAGCGATCCAGGGGAAGCCCCCTCCTCCGCCCCTGGGGTGTAATCCATAACTTAGTCGGCTGTCGGGCAATTGATACAACTTCCAAGCCGAGTCGCCTCGTAATTAAAAACGGAATATTTCCATTTTAATTAGGCCCGCACACCTTTTGGGGTTAGCTTGTAAAAGGATTAAAACTGGCATGACAATTTTAGCTTAATAATGCGTAACTTGCTAAATTGCTTTAAAATATTAATAGTTAGTTTAAAAGTAAGAAAGAGCTTCTTTTGGCTTCTGACCAAAAATGTAATTCGTATCTTATATATTGTCATCCCAATAAAAAGTTTCCCTATAAGCCACACAAGATTCTTATATTATTGCTTTTTACAAACAAACTGCAAGTCAACGTTTTTAATCTGTGTATGTTTTTAGAATTGGTCAAATGCACACCCAGTATGGAAGCTGTTATTTAATTGGATCTCTGCTTATAAAAAAATCCCAGCAATATCATCTCCATTCCCACACCGATTAATACTCTTACTTTTCCCAACTACACATCCATCAACTAATGCGTATGGCCCACAAAATCCCTAATTGTAATTAAGCATGGGAATCCACAAAAGATGCGCAACAGTGGAACTTGGGAAACCGAAAGCGAGTAACCGAATAATGTGGCCAATAAAATTACTGTGGCTCTAGGGTTTCCTTCGCGGGGCTCAGCTGGAGGAGTGGGAGATGGACCTAGGCACATGGAAGAGTGGGAGTGGGAGTTCGAGTCCAGACTCCCGACATTCCAGATACCAGAAACAGAAACGGAAAGAGACAGAGCCCCAAATGAGAATGGACTTGCGCTGGGGGATTACAAACGTGTTGCCATTAGTTAACTTCAGCTTTGATTGATTTCAATTAATCTTGGACGCGTGTAATTAATCATTGAACACTTTAATATGGTTAACAACTCTTGACCAAGCAACGGTTAAAAAGGTTCAACGAGCCATCGTCGAGCGAATGGCCGACTGGGCGAATGAGCGGACAGGCCCAAGACTTTTGGCTCTGGCAACTGACAAAGTGACTGACCACAAGCCACGGTTCGTGGGCATCGCAGGGGGACTGCGGTTGCCGGGGCAGCCGCCGCCAAGAAAAATGGCCAGGTTTGGAAAATGCGTTGGAGTAATAGTCGGTAACGAACCCAGCGGCACTGGCAACTCGGATGGATTTCCATAGCCCAGTCCCGGAGGCAAGTCTTCGGATTCAGATTCAGCCGCGACTACAACTCCAACTTCAGCTTCAGCTTTAGGTTTGGCCATAGCTTGAGCTACAGAGACTCAGCCCCCGACTAATTGTACTTAGATTTCGCGCCACTTTGGGGAGCTTTGTGGTCTTGGCAACGTGGAAAGCGGTCGCGATTGATGGCTATCAATGCCGATGACTTATGGCCGGAGTGGCAGACCGACAGACTCACAGACTCACATGAGTCCGGCCAGCGGACCTGGCAAATCCATCCATCTATGTGGCACATTTGACTGCAGCGCGCCTTGATTATCTTGGCTTTTCCCTCACAACTCCCGGAAAATTGCCGGTCTCGTTTGGGTATTGATTTTCCCAGGCCGAGCAAATAGCTGTCGGGGAAAATCGCAGGGTAAGCGGGCGAGAGATCTGTGTAAGGTGTCATTAGGCGGTTTCGATTCGGCCTCCTTAAATGGAGCCATAAAAACGAACAGTGCCCCCCGTTTAGAAACCAAACTGTTACAAAGGAAACCATCCATCGGAAACCAATTGAACGAATTTCACACATGGGCGCTAATGAATTTAATGAAGTCATTTTTCTTTAACCGATTTACAAAACTACTTACAACTGGCGGGCCAACCAACCAACCAGTCGCGTCAGAACAAGCGAGTTCATAATTTTGCATCATTAATCATCGCCTTAACAAAGAGATCTCGGGCATCCCGAGATCGACAGCTCCGAAAAAAGGGGGAAAGTAATTTGGGCAGCCGGCTTAGATCGCAGTGAGGAAATTAAAAAACAATTGTTAATTATTAAATTTTAAATTTTACACTTGGCCGCAAACGATGACCGTTTTATCGGGGGCTTTTTTGGGAGCTGTTCCGCTGTGGAAACCTGGGGCCAATCATTGTGGCTCCTCGGTCGACACCTCGCTGATGAGATCATTCATCACAGCCGCAACCCGAGTGAAATGAGTTGCCATTGTTGCGGGCTGCAACTCGGACAAAAGCCTTTTTGGTCTTCGGAGGAGAGTCTTATTTTTACCGTGGTCTTTTTGGCATGGGTTCATCTCGGTTTGACTGCTCAATTATCACTTTGATGGCTTTGCAGAAGCGGAAAGATCGCGAGGACCCGCATGGAGCCTCGAGAAAGTGTTGGCTTGGGGATAAGGCTGTTAAATGTTTCACATTTGAATAGGAGGAGATGAAATCGAATCCCTCTTCCGTATATGTTACAGGATTTTATTGAATTCCCTTCAGTTTTTTATTAAGGTGATAACAGCCGTTGAATCTTAAAATCTTTTTAGAAGTAGTTCTGTAAGGAGTAAATGTTGCACAGTTAAAAATCAGAGCTTTAAAATTATAAGCCTTTTTCAAGATGTTATTTAGAATCGTTAATCCATTGAAAAATATTTGTCTGTTATCCGATTTTTTATTTCTATGTATATATACTATACTATTTATAAGGTTGTATATGCTATGCTATGTATTTTATAGTTGAGAAACAAGTCTGATTTATTTTTCTAAAATCTGTTTAACATTCCACTTTGTTATCTATAAGAATCCGAAGGCCAAAAGTCGGGGGAATTATTAATGAGTAAAAACATTCATTATTTTATAATTTTTTGAACATGAAAAACTTGAATATTGTGTAACCTAATTACAGCTTTTTTATCCCAATAATCCCAACCTTGCTGAACAACCAATCTGCCTAGCAATAAGCCAAAACTGCGTTTTTATTTCGGCTGACCGAAATGCGATCACGACCGCAAGCGTTGCGCTTCATTAAAATCGGATTACGTACGGCCATCTGAATTCCTGCCAAAGGACCCACAGCTGATCTGACCAATGTCCTCGGGATGGCTGACCAGTGTCCGATTCCCACGATGCGAACGAGACTATAAATCCCCGAGCGTCTTGGACCGTATGCAAAATCGCAAGACGCCGAAGATGGAATTAAAATGGAAATGCGTATAAAATCGACCCAAAATCAACCCCAAAAACTCAGCGGACTCCCAGGTAATCGGACTGGACAAGCGGAACCCTTTTGGCGCAGCCCATAAAACGGCGGAAAATCATAAGAAAATCGGGCAGAAAATTCGAAGGGACTGTGGACAATGTCCAGAGATTCTTTCGGGGGTTGCTGCTGCAGCGATCTTCGAGCTTGTCGTCCTTCGCAAAGGTTATGTCCACCGCTGGACACTCGAACTCGAGTTCAAAATGCTACCTGGATGCTGCCAGGATTTTCGGGCATCTGGTCCAGTGATCTCCCATTGTTAACACCGCCGCCTCTGACCTTTGGCTGTCTCACGCAATTAGGCAAACTTTCTGGGGTCAAAAATATGTACATATTCCATTTGAATATTTTGCATTAATCTTTTGCATACAGTTGGCCGCTTTTCTTGTCTGTTGTTTTCTGGGGACGCCTTTCCGTCGTCGGATTTGAATAAGTGCTAATGATTTGTGACATGCTTTTATGGCGAATGTTTAATTCATGGATACGGCTTGGAATCGGGCACATAAACAAGGCGGAGCGTACATTATAGTAGCTCATACTAAAAAACCAAAAGGGGGAGGTACGCATATAATTACACACACACACACAAGTACATACAAACTTGGATACGATGAGCACTCGCCCATCGACAGCGGCTGACATATGTGAGCAGTGGCTGACCTTTGACATGCGCTCTCGAAATACATTTCGAGTGGAGCACAAACACATGGGCACTTCAACTCTCCCCCACCCGATTTCCCCACCGCCCCAATCGATTGCGGCCATGTACACCTACTTTGGCCAAAGCCAAGCGAACCCTTAACAGCTTTCTGGCTCGCATGTCAAAGGGGATTCCACGGAAAGGTTTCGGCCCGAGTGCAGAATGCAATTCCAAATAGACAAATACAGAACAAAATAATTGCAGTTATTCCTAATTGGTTCAGTGAAATATACGAGTATATGCCTACGCACGCAAGAAATAATGATTCACTAAATCACAGATTATTATTCAAAAATAAATGAGCTTTTAATATATGATAGATAATGTTAAATTTAATTTTATTTTGACAATTAAGATTTAAGAGGTCTAAAGCTTGAACTTGAAATAAATACTGTTCAAAATAAAAATCACACTATAACAAATGAAATAATAGCAACATATTAAACGAAAAGCAAAACAACGAGATTTAAACCCAAACACAATAGAAGCACACTTTGTAAAATATTGTATATACAAATATATATTCTATTTCAAAAATTTTAATATTTTCCCGCAACAGGCAAATCTCTCTCTCCCAGTTCATTCTTTTGGGGAACAGATCCATCAACCGGTGACGAATCCCCATCAAGCATATTGGGTTGACAAAGTTGTTAACCATGGGAACTTTCCTAGTTGTTTTCACAGATGATGTTTGTTTTTTTTTTTTTGGCTGGAAAATTGTACATTTGTGTTCGCGACTGTGGGAAAGAGAATACAATTTCAGCATTTTCCAGCCACGACCAGCTCCACTTTCACAATGAATCATCGGGCTAAAAACAACAGCCAGCAGAGGGAACTTTTTCTGCAAGCGAACCAAAAGGATGCTATAGATGGCTTAGGGGGTGTGGCAGATTGGCAGAGGAGGATGGAAAGGGGAAAGGGTGAAGGGGTTTGGTTGGAAAGGGGGTGGGAAGGCGGGCGCGTGCTCGTCAGTTTAACCAGCATGACATGGCCCGGTCCATTGCGGTCCTGGTCTCTGGCATTTTAGCACTTATTCATAAAGTCCTTGCCAGCAACGGAAGACAAAAGGCAACGCAAAAAAAAGATAGAAAAAACAGCACAGAGAAGAGGAATTACTAAAAATTTATCAATGTAAAAGTTGGTTGGATGTGGGAGGGGGAAAGGGAAAGGGAGGAGGAGGTGGGAGCGAGTTGGCTAGAAACAGGAAACAGGCAACAATGTAAATTATATGCCAGTTGGTTTTGCTATTTTATAGGGGACCCAAAGGGGCTGCAATCTGCGAGTGGCTGCACCAGAGCTCTTTCTTTGTCCGGGAATGGGAGCAGATCCATGTAGGAACGAAACTATATATATATCCCTGCACGTACATATGCTTATGAGCAAGCCAAAGTCCTTGGAACACTGAGCAGGATGCATTCGAGTGCAGCAGTGCATCCACAAGTGGCAAGCTAACTGCAGAGCGAGATGTTGCACATAACTGAAAAATTGTTTAATGTTAGCTGGACTTGTGAACAGCGAAAAAAATACCCAAAAAATACCCAACATACATTTTAAGCAATACCATACATATTGTCTTTATTACTGATTTAATTGGTTATATAATTGTTTTCTGTTTTTAGCTTTTAGTACAAAATCCAGATTTTGTTGTAATAAGAAGTGCTCTAATTTTTTAAAATTTAAACTTATAAAACCTTATCATCAATCATTATCATCATCATTATCATCATAAATTAACCTTATCGTATCTTATAATATAAAAAATTGACGAAAAATATATAAATTAAAAAATTTATTTAATGGGCTTATGAACTTGACGTCACATGCCTATCTCTTCAAGTTTTAAGGCTTAAAATATTTTAAAGAGCTGGAAAAATAATATTTAGTAAATACTAAAGTGCATAGTACTTTGTAAATTTTAGCTAGTAATATCATAGTAGCTAAGGAAATATTTTTTACTTGCTGCCCAAGCCCAGAATAAATTGAAATCTGCACGACCATAGTTCTGCACATAGCCTTTTCCGCCCAGCTGGGGCCACAATTTCCACTTCCCAATGGTGCACCCACCCACCCACTTTCAATGAACTGTCCAAAGCAGAGGAGCACAAAAAATGGCCAACAAGGTGGGGCAGGGGGTGGGGAAGGGGAAGGGGTGTTCCGGGGGGCTTCTGTGGCAGCGAGTGCAAAAAGGCGCTCAAATGGGGTTGTCAGTATTTAACCCACAGGGGTTGGAGGTGCCGGCTGACTGCGCGAACTCCGCAGAAGTCCATGTAACCGGTGGGTCGAGTGGGCGGTTCGGAGTGGGTGGGGTGGGTTTCGCCCGCAACATACGAGGCAGTAACAAGAGGTGCCTGCTCTCGGCAGGATTAGGTTCAAAGAAGAAGAGCCATCAGGATGTTAGGGGGATCGGGAGATCATCGCTGCCGAGACCCCACACATAAGTCACATGGCCAAAAGAAAGAGAGACGCTGCCGATTGAATTAGACCCCAAATGGGGCTGCCAGAGAGAGACATCTAGCGGTGTTAATAAAAAGCCAGCGAGCGCTTTTTGTTCCTTTTCAGCCGCTTTTAAGGGGGCAAAAATAAAATTCCGATACAGTTAATGATAAGGCATGGAGCAAAGCGAGATGGATATAGGCCAAAGCGAGAGGGCAATAGCTCAGTACAGGGGCGTGACTTGTCAGAGAGCAGCTAAAAACCTAACGAAACTCGGCAACTGAGTGGAAACGAGTCCAATTGGAGGTGTCTCTCTCTCACTCTCTCGTTCGAGTGGAAAGTTGGGGTGGCATATCGTTCATCATCCAATTGTACGTTTGCACTTCGCTCTGGCCTTCCCATGGCCTTCCCACCCCAAACGCAGGCCCCCCTTCACCCCTCGACACCAGAGGGCGCCAGAGTCCGTGGCCCGTTACGCCCCCTTTTGGGGCAGCCAAAGGGGGGCGGGGGAGTGCAAAGTGCGGTGGCCACAATTTGGCCCTTTGGACTGGCCTGCAACTCTTGGTTTTCGCTTTTTGCTTTCTGCTTTTTGCCACTCCGCAGCCTGCGACACTTTTCCAATATTTTCTATTTTCCCACCCACTCTCGGCGAGTTGAAAAATGAAGTGGCAACAGTGTTGCGTGGCAGCCAGCGATTTTCTTAAAGTCTTCACTCTGCAGCAGTTAGTTGCGTGCAAATAGGCCTTCGCAAAATGGAAATGCGAAATGTATTCCAGAAATAACAGTCGGCAAATGGACATAGGTATTAAGTCGCGCGAGGTGTCCTCGTTAAGAGCAAATTCAATTATCGTTATGATTTAATGTTTTGGCAACAAAGTAAGAGAAGTAAAAGTCGCAGCTGAGGAGCCAGTGGCTGATCCAATTAGCCCAGTGAAAATATTATAATTATATTACAGCAGTCAATGGGCTTCAGTTGTTCGCAGTTGGTAAACTTATATTTAGGGGCAGTCCGAGCACATTGAGCATTAATAATACTATGGGTTTCGCGTTACACAACATTGGGGTCACTATCAAAGTTCCACATTTCCGATCATTTAATGCTAATTCTTATATTTGTTCCTGGATAAAACTACTGTTATTACTTTTTGGTGTTATTTCATTGAAATTTTTAAGTTTGATTCGAAACAAGTTTATTTGACATTTATCAAACGTCTATAAAGGGGTTTAAAACGGTATAAAAAAAATAAGGTTATCTGTATAGAATAAGAGTGTCTTTAAATTAAGAAAAGCTTTGTAATGTTACATATTATGAATATCTTTGCAATTTAATATGGCAAAAAAAAAAAAATTAATGCCAAAACGATAATTACTATTTTTACTAATGTTTGTAAAGTAAATAATATAGAAAACTCCTCCCACAAGTAACACCAAAAAAAACCTATACATTTTGAGAAATTATAACTTTGGGTTTTTGAATTCCAAGTTCTATTCCAAAGATAATTTACCTATCTTCACCACGTAGTACCCTTTATATCCCACCTCATCCTGGCCATCCATCATCGCTGTATCTTTATAAACTGCCAGCTTATCTCGCTTTCCTTTCACTGGCAACCAATAGAAAAGAAGCTTTAAAGCAAACATTTAACCGCGAACGGGCATTATGGCCGCCAAACTCTTCCGCCAGATAAGAAGTGCTTTAAGTCCCTCCAAATTTCTGAAGATACAAAGTAGAACGCACTTTAAGACGGCCAACCAACCGGAGAAGAACCTTTCGCAGCGCCACCAAAGATAAACAGCCACGGAAACTTTTTTTCGGGGTGGAGACTCATTTTAAACAAATTGCTGAAAAGTTGAAGCCCCAAAAGTCCGGCGATAAAGAACCCTAACGGTAAAAGTATCTAACAGATGCGTCCGACAGCGAGCTAATAAGAGCAAACGGGTTCTAGTTGGACGAGTGACTTTGCTTCGTTCAGTTGGCGCTCGGAACTCAGAGAGCAAGAAGGAGAGATACATTGAGAGAGCAAGAGTGGGAGCCGTGGTGGTGGTGGTGGTGGCGCAGAGAGAGAGTGGTTGGTGGTGGTGGTGGCAAATCAGCCAAACGCGTCGAAGGTCTTGCCCCAACAGCGCGAGCGAGCGAGAGCGGCGATTTCACTCAACCAACGGGGCTGCCCAGCCGCCGCGAGAGCGAGGAGGACAGCAGCAGCGCCGCTTTGAGTGGAGTGAGAGGAGCGGCGAGAGATTTGTGTGATGTGTCGTTAGGTCGAAACGGTCGAGTCGAGTCGGGTCGGGTCGTGTACCTTTTGCCACGAATGTTGTGCCAGTCAGGCTCTAAAAGGCCTTACGAGAACAGCTGAGATTTCGCTGCTCCGCATGACGCAAAGATAGCGAAGTTGAAAAATTTCCAAGTCTTTAAGTTATCATAATATCGTGAGTGCGCCGAGCGGGAAACTCGAGATCGAAATAGAAGCAAAAAATAAACCAAGTGTTTTTAAGTGAACCGCCGCGTTGCTAATAGCATGCGAAGCTAAAAATAATCAAATAATTTTATTTCGAAAGAAAAAGAAATTAACAAAAAATTAACAAAAGGATAAAGCTAGAGCTGAGGACTCTGCGGTAAACCCGAAAAAAGTGTGAACCGTACGAAGTGCGTACAAAGTGTATTCCAGCAATTATACCCCGTGTTCCGACCCGGCCGCCAAGATTATTACGCACAACTCGCTGAGCGTGTACGGCGGCGGCGTCATGTGCGCCTCCCCGTCCACGGCTCCCGGCTTCTTCAATCCGCGCCCGCAGTCCGGCGCGGAGCTGTCCGCCTTCGACCTCGGCCTGTCCCGCTCGATGGGCCTGGGCGTCGGTGTGCCGCCGCACAGCGCCTGGCACGAGGCGCCCGGCTCCCTGGGCGGCCACCTGCACGCCGCGTCCGCGGGACCCGGCACCACCGGTGGCAGTGTGGCCACCGGCGGCGGTGGCACCACGCCCAGCAGCGTGGCCAGCCAGCAGTCGGCGGTGATCAAGCAGGACCTCTCCTGTCCCAGTCTCAACCAGGCCGGATCCGGTGGCCATCACCCCGGCATCAAGGAGGATCTATCCAGCCTGCCGAGTGCCAATGGGGGATCCGCCGGCGGACACCACTCCGGCGGCTCCGGTTCGGGATCCGGTTCGGGCGTGCAGCCCGGCCATGGGTCCGACATGCTGCCCCTGATCAAGGGACATGGCCAGGACATGCTGACCAGCATCAAGGGACAGCCCGCCGGATGTGGCAGCACCACGCCCAGCTCCCAGGCCAACAGTTCCCACTCGCAGAGCAGCAACAGCGGATCCCAGATCGACAGCAAGCAGAACATCGAGTGCGTCGTCTGCGGGGACAAGAGCTCCGGCAAGCACTACGGACAATTTACCTGCGAAGGTGAGTGCACTGAAAAAAATAATAGTTTAAGGGGGCTTCCGAAAAAAATTTTAATTTTATCTGAAATTATAAGTCAAATTTTAAATGGTGCATTATGATAGTGAAACCTTCAATAAACCTGCAATAAGGGCTGAATAACTCAAACTACACACTTTAAATAATTATAATTTTAGGAAGCTTTTTTAATAGCGATTTGGAATTTTTGTTTAAAAAACGAGTAAAACTTATCAGAACTTTATGAGCCAGAATTTGAAACTAAAGAAATTTAAATTTTAACAAAGAAAAATTAACATTTCATCAGCTGTAAAATCTGCCGTTTTTAAATTTTTTGGCAGCTTAAATAATATTTTCTAAATATTTCCCTGCCAAATTGAATAGTTCACGAGCACAAATTCCCTGAGTGGCTCAAGATGACGTGTAAAATCAGAAAAGGGAGCATCGTATCACAACATATTTTTTTCTGCCTGAGTAGCGATCTCACCTTTGAGGTGCAATTGGGGGTCAATTGATTTCGTACTTGGGTTCGCACTGGGGATGACCAAACAGAAATGGCCAACGTAATAGAAAGCGGGCACAAAAGCGTGCCTGCCAGCCGCTGATTTTTGACAGTTTCGGTGAATTATGGCAGTTTGATGAGTTGGCAATAATGAACCCCGGCCAGGTGTGGGTGTGGGTGTGTGTGTGTGTGCGGGAATTCCTCTTCCCAGGGCCATGCAAATCTTGGCGGGAGTCGCGATGCAGCTGGAATGTATAAACACTTCTCGCTTCCCAAAGCCAGTTAGTTGATCGGGCCCCAAATCATGTACAGATGTTTTAACGACCAAAAAATACATTTATGATCGGAGCGATAGTTTTGCTCGGCTCCACCGAGATTTATGCCTTTTGTTGATACTCGATTTTTGTATAATTAAAGTTTAGAGCTGCGTTTAGCTAGGAAAGGGGCGATAAACTTCAACCAAATCGTTGTTCTACGATTTCCCAGAAAACTCAAATAGTTTTGCACTTCTGGTCAGCATACCGTTACAATCCAACGCGCAGCACGAGAGCTCTTGAGATACATAGATACAGATACATATATACGTAGCGATCTGGGCACGCACTCCCGCCGCTGCCTTATCGTCAGATAAAAGTTATTATCTAAATAAAATACGGGCCGTGCTTTGTCCTAAGCCAAACAATTGTTGTGCAAACATGCAAATTGTGCGGCGGCCGCTAAATGAAGCGCCCACCTTCTTCTTATTGTCTCTCCAACTCGGGGAACCTGGAGTTCCGGAAGAGAGGAGGCCGCGGGGCAGCTGAATGAATCGCTGGCTGGCTGGATGGATAGCTGGATGGGTGGATGGGTAACTGCATTCGGAGATGGAGGGCGATAGGCGCTGGCATTTAGTGCAGCCTCAAGTGAACTTGTCATACTCGTATCTCTTCAAACGTTCTGGCACTGGAGCAGCCAAGATGTAAGTAGTGACTGGGCACAGTGGGCTCGCCAGAGATTCCCAGATACTCTCGCAACTCGCCCCGGCACTCCGATGGCTCCCACTGTTCAGCGGGCGCTGCTATTATTATTAATCACCGAGCATTTTGTACGCATGCGCAACCCACAACAGCAACAATCAGAAGATATGCGGCTCTGTGACCGCCTCGTTGCATTCTGAAGGTGTTTCCCCGATTCCCCCTGGAATAGCTGAGTGCAGTATGGGGTATATATAGTATGTAGTGCATGGGTACGAGTATCTCGCGGTTGCCTGTTGGCCTGATGATGTTGCCACGATAGCAATCTATTTTGTTCTATGCAATCGCCAGACGCTAAAGCTTGAGCTGCGTCGTCTTCCACCGCGGAATCAGCTTCACTCAAATGCTGGCGAAATAAAACGTAGGAAAAATCATAATAAAGCGCACAGCAGAGCCCATATCATTGCCGGCGTTTTCAGGGTTTTTTTTTTCCTTAGCGTTGTGTTTTTGTTTTCGTTTTTTTTTTTTTTTGTATTTCGCTGAACCCCAGCCGAGAATGTGCCTCGTCGCCTCGTCCTTTCAGCTGATTCACTTCGAGGTGCAGATACTTTTCGTGGCTCTTAGAAAATGAAAAGATACTCCACTCCACTCCGCGGCAACTCGTTTCTTTCGGCTGTCTGAAATCGTGTGTGTGTTGTGTGTGTGTGCTGAGCTCACTTGTCCGTCCGTCTGTCCGTTTGTCTGTCCGTTTGTCCGTCTGACCGTCCCTTCTGTCTTCTGTCTATCCTTGTGTCCAGTTTCCAGGCTTTCAGGGGCATGGGTATGTGAATTTGTGCCACGACACCCCGCTCGTAGCTGCAAGATTAATTGTAGCTTATGCGTGTTGTCCGTTTCTGTATCTGTTTCGTTTTCGCTTAAGGTTTAGGTTAGGTTGGCTTAGGTTCCTGTTCCCGAGGATCCGAGGAACGGAAAGCCCATGTCCTCCCATTGTGGTGGCAACTTGTTTGATTTCGCGCCCAGCTGCTGGTGAAATTGGAAGGAGGAGCAGCCGAAAGTCTGGCACTTCTCATCAGCAGCGGCAGCGGTAACCTTTGGCCGCCTCGAAAAGTCACGGTTTAGTGTCGGCTGAAAAATACGAGTATATGTACGCTGATAAAAGTGCCTCGATAATATTAATGATGAGTGCACGGCTCTAATGTGGCAAGACAGCGCTGCCTCCACTCCACTCCACTCCTTGCCGCGTATCTCCTATTAATTTGGCTATTTGTCATGGCTATTAGTGGCCCAAAAGCCGAGATTCAAGCCACGTATCTCGCCGGTTGCGCTGCATCATCAATCAGCGTTGAGTGGAAAAGCTCGCTGTAAATATTAAAACCATGTTTTTCTGCGAACCAATTGAATTTCCAATTCTGACACGACAACTATCTCAGCACCCATGTCAAAAGCGAATTAGCATAACTTGGCCGCAGCGCGCACATGACAATGATAAATAAATTTTGCGAAAACTTACCGCCACTACTTAGTACATGCAATTAATTAAAACAAACATCGGCTAAGAAGCAGAGCAGGGCATAAAGAGTGGTAAGGAATTGCCATCCCAACTAATTGTTAAGCGCCAGCGGAGCACATTAGCTGCCACAAATAATGTGTGTGAAGTGCAGCCGCCAGCCGCAGATTGTCAACTCTGGGCCAGCATAAATAATCCCTACTCTCCGACTTGTTCCATTTGCTACATTTTCCGCGAACGAGCTTACATCAAGCTCATTTAAATAGATTCCCACGTTCGGCAATTAGACCCACAACCCGAAATCCCAGGCTCCAGCTCCCAAATCCCAATTCCGGTGGAAAAAGAAGGGAGAACCCATCACAAATTTACGCTGGAAATGTCCGAAATTTCTGATGTCGCGAAACGGTGGGTCAGTAGTTTGTATCTTTGTATCTCAGTATCTCTTTGGAGGGAGAATCTTGTTTCCTTCGTCTTCTGCCTTTGTGCGGAATTGTATTCAACATGTGTGGCTTTTTAATTAACTTCATTATGATGTGGGCAAATATCTCGAGGAAAAGAACAGGAATTGCAGTGAAAATTTATTTTTTCGGGGTAACCATAAAGAAGCGGACTTAATTCTTTGACAAATACATACTATTTATGGGCTGATCAGCAATAAAATCTTAATTTCCTTTGTAGAAAGCCATATACTAAATGCCTTCCCCCCAATAAAAATATATATTTTTGCGTTTCACTTTGCACCTCTTGACAATCTGTTAAATGGCGCTCTTCTGAAATTCGCATTTCGGCTGTGGAAATTCATTCCACTTTGAGCATTTAACAAAAGCCAAACATAAATCAATTTGCTGTCTCTGATACGACCTCACCGCCCCTCGCAGAGCAACAAAGTAAGTAAAAGCAACAAAGTAAATACGAATCCAGAAAATTAACAACGCCCACCGAGCATTGCAATTTATGGCGTTGCAGTTTTGGGGATTTTTTCCATTGGGGGTGGGGGGAGTGGGCGTGGCCATAACGCCCGCAGCAGCGGATTTTTTATTTATTAATTAGCAAGAGGGAAAATAAATTCGAGGCTTGTATTAAAAATTTGCATTTGGCGGCATGGCAGGATGGCTTGAAGTCAATTTCTTGCCCATAACATATATCACATAAATCGCCTTTTGATAAACATTTATAACTTCCGTGCGATTTGCAGTCTGCGGTTTTGTGGCTGCTGCTGGCTTTTGATTTACAACTTGGTAGCTCTTTCTCCCCCAAGTGAGCGTCATAACTTACGGCCTCGAAATTTATTTTGACAAATTTCCTTGGCTCGCGATGGCGAATATTCCCGGCCATTTGGCGGGTTAACGAGCGGGCAACGCTCTTGTCACAATAACCATACTCATAGGCGATCGTTGCCCAACGCTGTGTCAACATTAATGAGCCCCGAGCTGAACCCTTCATTAAAGGCGGCCCAGCGAGGAGGAGGAGAATCGGGCAAGACAAAAGTTAATTGTACAGATATTGCCGGGACAGAGGAAACAAACAAAATCAAACAGACGAACAGCGAAAACAATTGCAAACTGCAGCCGAGGCAGCCAGACATTGTAATCATTAAAAGCTGGCTTGTACTACAAATCGTTGTACTTAGAAGAAATGTTCGAGCCAATAAAGCTCGGCAGTCGACCACTTCACTCGAGCGGAGTGGAGTGGAAGTGCAGTCGAGTCGAGTCGCTTAAAATGAGGCGCAAAAAATTCATCCTGACACGATGCGATTTCGAAAAAAGGCCCCCGAAATAAAAGAGAGTCTCTCTGGGGTAAGGAAATCGTGAACTACCGACTTGATCCGCTTTATAATGTAACGGTTTAATTAATTATGTTAAGCCTGGCTATCCAACTGGCTTTGGGCCAAAAGACTTTTCTGGTTGCTGTTGCAGCAGCAGTTTCTACTGCAGCAGTTTCTGTTGCAGTTGCTGTTGCCACTTCATGCGCAATTTTCGTTTTCAAACCGAGAGTTCGGCTAATCGATCAGGCCCAGCGAAATGCTGCCTTCCCGGCACGTTTTGTGTGCATCTTCGAGGGCCAGAAAACCGAAAAGAGACTCTGCACTTGGCCAAAACCGAGAACCAGGACGGCTAGTCGCTCCCTTTTTGCTGCCCCGCTTATCGCCATGTGTCGCCGGCCAGGCCCGAAGTACAAGTACATGACCATAGCATTTGCACGGCTCTCTGCATAACTCCGCATAGCATCAGTTAAATCAAAGCCAAATCGCTTATCTGAGGCGGCATTTTCCTTGCATTTTCCCCGCGGCAACGTGACATATGCGAGATGCAAATGGAAAGCCGGCTCTTCTAGCTGGAAGAAACTGCTCCGATTCCAGCGAAACAATTGCGAAAGTTCTGAATGGATGCGGGGGAGCTTCCCAGATTGGCATTTGATTTACAGTTGACCCATATTGGGCCATAAACTTGAGTTGGTTAGGTGTGGAATATATATTATATAGAGGGAGAGAATAGAGGGGCACCTGTTCCGTTTTGGATTTGATTCTGTTTTTCGCCAGGGGGCCCCGTTCATAATCAGTGCATTTTGTTGATGCTCCGAGTGCATGAGCCAAGTTAACCAAGTTTCGTGTCTGTCGGCGGGGGCTGTAATTATGTTTCGTTGGTCGTCGTACTCCAGATATTTTGTCTAGCCGCCTCTCTGGACTCCAGTGGTGTTGTGGTGTGTGCTAATTACTTTGACTAGCTAGCTAGTGGCTCCGTGTAAGCTTAACATTTAATTATTGCACCTTAATGACGCTGCCCTACGTTGAATGTGTGTGTGCATTGGTAATTAGAAAATGAGCCAAAGTCAAGGCGACTTTGACTTTGCATCGCTCCTCCGTTCCGCTTCCTCTGGGCCAAGCGATCGTTGACCGCGGCTGGGAAATGGCAAATGGAAAATGGTAAATGGAAAATGGAAGGTGGTAGATAGAAGATGGAAAATAAGAAAAGCAGTGCCCACCGCAATTGATTGGGCCATCTGCCACCCGAGTGCATGTGCCAAAAGATACAGATACTTTCAGCCAGAGATTGCCGGCTAGAGTCAGCTAATTTAACGCTTTAAATTGCGCAGCCGAGCGGATCCAACCGGGGGGATCTCGTGTGGTGCAGATAGATAGCTCTATAGCTCTGCTCACTTTCAGGAAGTTCAATTAATAAAACGCTTAGCTTAGCTTAGTTTAGTTAAGCCTCAGCCAAGTTCTCGGAACCTCCGCTCTAACTGTATTGAACGCTTTATGGCGCGTAGCGCACGCGAACCAACTTCCTCGGCCGCCACCCGCTGGCAATTAGGTGAAGCGGTAATTGAAACTACCGCAAATGCTAGCCTGGCTTGGATTGCCTTCGACTTCGACTTGCCGTGGCTTGCTTTGGCTTAGCCAAAAAGTCCATCCATTTAAGCCGAAGCCGTAGAAGAGGTGAGTCCGTCCGTCCGTCCGTCCGTCGTTCAGGATTCGATTCTAGGGCTTCCCACACTCGAATCGCAGCGCTAGAGCGATCCACCCTTTTTCGGTTATTGATATAACACGATATCCACTCCACCCGTCGCGGATTTTGTTTGCGGTATCTGCCCCATGTACTCGTATCTTCATCAATAACGACGCGCATCTTTCGCATCGCCCAGTCCACTGGGGATCCACTCCCCTCAGTCCCCTTTTCCCCCCTTTTCCCCTCACTTTTCCCCGAGTTAAGATGCCCAGATACTCGGGATGGAGCTGCAGCTCTAGATAGAGTTGCGATAGGCGCATATGGGCAGTTTGCCTCTGTTGCAAGTTCTTTTATTTACCTCTCTTGCCGGGCTTTCTGGCCAGGTCCGCGAAACCGGCGAAGCGCAGTCAGAGTTGCCTGCCTGCTTGATGGCCAAAAGGGGAAGACTGAAAGGCGGACGGGGGGGCCAAAAGGCAACGGTACGTTTTGGCAGAAATCGTGACTCGGTACAATATCGTTATTCGTAGATCATATGGTGTAAAGGCTGGCAGTGTGTGAGTGGGCATTTCTAGATGTGTTCGTAGTTGGCCAGAAGTGGGGAATACCGAATGCCCTTTGGCAAACGAACTGAAGTGTATCCTCGCAAATAAAATATCACTGATCAGCGATCATTTAAATTAGTTAGTTGAGTATCAGTCAATACTTTGGATGAGTTTGCTTAATCTACTTTTCATTTGATCTCCACTTAGTGCATTTAACCATCGACTTGCAATCACATTCAATTTGGAAGACCACGTTTTGTTTCCATTTCGGTGGGAGGCTGCAGCCACACGATCGCATTGGCAGAAAAAGCATTGAAAGATCTTTTATAGCCTGTGATCGCATGCTATATAGTCGACGGGTGGGTCGGGGGAGTGGATAGGATAGGATCGGGTCTGCATAAACGCTCAGCGCTTACATATTTTGTTTGATGATGATTTTACAGCTTAAAACGAATTTTATGAGCATATGCCATTGTTTTGAGTTATTGTGAGAAGTTTTTTCTGCTGCTCTCTACGGCGAAGGAAAGAAACCAGGTCCAAACAATGCCTTCCTATATATATATATATATTTTATATATATATGTGTGTATTTATATAGGTGTACCCCTACCAAATAGCCAGGCTCTTTATGCAGAAAACGCTGATGCAGAGCCAAGTGATACACATGTTTAGATACGCGTCGGCGACATTAACTTGCCGTGTCGCTGGCTTGTCCTACAACAACACCCAACTGCGGCCCAAAGCACTTAGCCAACTTGGCCAAAGAGGCTGGGGTTAAAGCTGAAGCTGTTGCTGAAGTGGCTGGCCAAAAGCGAGGCCCAACGAGCCATGGCTGATCTGGCCGTCTAGCTTAACAGTAAATTCGTGGCGAGCCGAACTTGAACTTGCTGCCAGTTTTCCTTCTTTTACTTAGCCTTTTTTCGGCTGCCCAAGATACACTTTGTTAATTGAAAGCCATTAAAGGTAATTTTATGGGAGGCGTTAAGCCATGAAACGTGTAACATGACCATTGACATAGGCATCAGGAACCCGACTTCGGACGCGGTCTGGTGACGCGGAGTTTGTCAAGGAGTTAAGGCCACTTTGCCGTACAAGTGGCAACAAAACTTTTTGTTCTCGGGATGCCTAAAGTGCCAGGGAATTTGTAGAGTCAAAAAAACGTAGTAAGAGTGGAATTTGGGTTCCTTTTTTTTACCTAGCACTAACATATTTATATTTTACATCCTATTAATTCTGAATTTCTTTTTATTTTTTGCAGGCTGCAAATCTTTCTTCAAGCGCTCCGTGCGACGCAATCTCACCTATTCTTGCCGCGGCAGCAGAAACTGTCCCATTGACCAGCACCATCGCAATCAATGTCAGTTCTGCCGATTGAAGAAGTGCCTCAAGATGGGCATGCGACGCGAAGGTAAGCATCGAAAATCATCTAAGAACAAAACAACAAGTGTGTTATTCAGCGCAGAGAAATGCCATGTGCTGGGGGTCAATTAAAAGTCAAACCCGAGAGACAAACAAAACAGAATAAATTAAATCAACGGCCGAAGAACGGAAGTAGAGCAGCGGCGATGACTAAATGTCACATGCTAGGAATTTAAAACAGCGGCGAGCAATTGGGTTCGGGTTCGGATGCGGTTCGGTGTGGATCAGTTGAGTTATTTGGGTGGCAGGAACTATGCCAGGGAATGTGCATCTAGCATCACCCCAGGTCGCTATTCGCTTTTCGCTCTTTTGGTTTTTCACCACTCGTTTTTCCCATTTTCCACACGCAAGTCGGTTTGGTTAATAGAGAAGACAATTAGGCAGGCGATTGCAGCCTATTGCACAGCTTATTGACCCCGAAGATCAAATGCAAACTTGTCCGATCGCTCGCTTCATAATTGCATTGGCACACTGCGAGAAACGCGAGGTGAATTGATCACCCAATCAAATGCAGCCCAATGTGTGTAGCTAATTTGTAAGCACGGCCAAGCCAAATATTTGGCATACCTGAGTGAGACTTGTTATCCGCAGCCGCTGATTGACTGATTGACTGGCCGACTGACTAAGTGACTGACTGACTGACTGGTTGACTGGCTGACTGTCATATGGCCATACCAAGTTACACTTGTCAGCATTAACAATTAGCGGCTGTCAGGGAGTCAGAGAGATATCCAGATAGAGATAGAGATAGAGATACACGGCAGTTAGCGGACGCTAAGCTGTTATTATTTGCACTAATATTGACAGGTTTTTCGCAAAATGCTAATAGCCAACAGCAACAAAGGCAAAGGCAAAGGCGAAAAGCAACTGCAACTGCAACTGCAGCGACCAACTCAGATGTCTGGTCTGCTGTGTGGTGGTGCGGTGTACACATCGATTTGGGTTAAGAACGAAAACGTTAATTTATGGCGACTATGGGCAATTAAAATGCAGCTACAGCAGCCTCCTCTCAATGCACTTGTAATTAAATGAATATAAACATTTATTTAGTCGCCGGCGACGGATTGTGAAAAATAGCATTTGAAATTTACCTAAGTCAATGTTGCCGCCACCGGACAAGTTTTTGGCTAATGACACAGTCCGAACCTCAGTCCGATCTACCTGTTAAGCCCATTAAGTCGGCTATTTCCTCACCCTGTACTTGCCCCAGAACTCGTTAAACGCAAAAGAGTTCAACACCTTTTGCCACATTCTGGATTTGGGTTCGGTCGAGTCACATTTCTTTAATGACAAGTTCTGCGTAAAACTAGTTCCGCACTATCAAAGCCAAGAAATCGTGAGAAAATTCAACTCAATTCCGCACAGGAGTTTCCTTCAGTTTTACCCTCTTTATGCTTTTTTTTAAGTTGCGAAGCGGGACAAAGGTTGCGTCTGAAATGACCCAGGGTCAAGAAAATTGTACGGGTTTGGCGCACAAAAAGCCTCACAAAACCTGAAAAAAACAACATCGAATCGGTGTTCCGGGTCGCTCTAATTAAATTGCAGTGTCAATTGGTCAAGGGAAGTGGGCTGGGCAGCCCAGGAATAAAACTGGTTGGCTTCTGCAAATAACCAGAGTTTTTCCTGCACAAAAACTCGTTTTTTCAGGGGTAGCAAAATTATGTAAAATTATTTGGGATTTATTTTAGATTTTTTAAAGGGATTTCGCTTGAGGGGAAGGGGAACCAATCCGAACACTGTGAACTCTTGCTCATAACCTCTGACCACTGAAATTCCACTGGTTGCAATCCAACACCTGCATTCACCCGATTCCTGGGCTTGGTCAAACGCATTTTTAGCCAGACAATGGTTTGTTCAGTTAGTTGAAAAGACTTGACTAGCTGGGTTTAAAAAGTGGGTCAGGCAAAGGTTTTTACACCTCCACGGCCAGATGGAAACTCCACACCTTGGCAGGCAAACTGAATAGATACAAGCACACATCCTAGACACACCTAAGCTCACTGGCCCAATCTTGCCAACGCAATCGGAGCCTTGGGCCAGGCCAATTCGAATCCGCACTAAGCCAAGACAAAGCAATGGCCAAAATGCACAGGCATCGACTGCTGATCGAAGCTCGTGGTGTTGCAGCTGGAAAGGGAAGTGGAAGTGGAACTGAAACTGGATTCGCTGATCTCTACCTGGATCGAGGAAAACGTAACGTCTTTCGCAGGAAACGAAAGCGTTTTTGGTCACTCCGCACAATGGACACATCCCGAAATCCAGCGAAATCAAACGAAATCCCTTTTTGTCCCGGTTCCGAAGGTGTTTGTTTATCGCCCAGCCGGAGCAATTAAGCCGGGGGTTGCACCACCCGAACCAGTTGACCACTGTCCATCCGCCGGCGGAGGAAGCGAGACGGGGAGACCTATTTACACAATACATTTGCGTAATTGTGAGAGGGGAGGGGGTTATTCGGCAGGACCCTCGACAAGATGCACTTGGTGATCTATGACGGCAAACCGGTTGTCCAGTGTCCACTGTCCACTGTCCAGTGCCTTATTTATGCGCCTGGGAAAATATTGTCTGACCACAAGAAGAGCCAAGGAGCTAAAGGCAAAAAAAAAACAAAAATAAGGAGAATCTGCCTAAGCCTGTGGTTTCGGTTTTGAACCGCGATCAGGTCGAGATTACAGCAGCCAAGAAAGCAGCGCGAAGGGTTTGCCAATGGGTTTTTGTGCTCGGAGTGGGCTTTCGAGATAATGCCTGGCCCGACTTGCCCTTTTGGCTGATTGCCCAATGAATGAATCTGCCGCCAGCACGTGCTCAAGTTCCCGCTCACATGTCACTCGCTGCCAAACACTCGAGAGCGTGTCCAAGTGGCGGGGGCTTAACTTTCCTCAGATATTCCTCGGTATCATCATCTACCGCCATTTCTGGGGAATTTTCGTTTCCGGCCAAAGTTCAAGAGGCCTTTCACTTTCCATTTAGCTACTCAGTTGTTCAGCATTTACATTGTTAATTATAATGTTTATGTGTACTATAAAAGCCTCACTGGTTGCGAAAAACCTGTCCGTTATTTTCTTTCTTTAAAATCTGCCAAGACTCTCCCCACATCTGCTGTATCCGCAAGATGTGTGTATCCGAAGGATGCGTTGAAAGTATTTAGTTCAATTTGCATATCTAAGCAGTCGAGACAACACAGGAAAAGGGGTTGAAAATATCTTTGGGGTGGCAGGAAAGTATCTTATGACGATGTCTCGGCCTCAACAAAGGACGAGCCACAACAGCAACTCAGTTCTCTGTATTGAGATCGAGGTGACCAGATATTCGGATATTCAGATATTCAGATATCCAGATAGCGGGCATTGTGAGCTGTGGCAGCTTTGCCAACAGAGCTGAATGCCCCGCATTGTGCCGCGTGTGATGTGGCGGTCAAAATAAGCCCAACAAAAACAAGAGTCCTTCAATTGCGGGGTGCTTGCTTCTCTTCGAAGATGTGTTTTGGAATTTGTTAACTTTGATAAAAGTCTAAAACGAAATCTTTAATATAAGAGATTACATATCTTGTAGATGGTATATTTCTTGATTCATTTATAGGCATTGCAAGAACTACATAAACAACATTGAACATGAAATTAATTTTAGCTAAGAAAACCATGATTATAAATCTCGTAAGCAATTAAGTTTATGCAATATCCTCTTTACTGATTTTTAGACTTAACCTTATCTAAAACTCTATAAAAATGGGTTTCAAATAGTATAGTTTTTGCGCAGTTCAAGTAAAGTTTAAAGGGCATCATTGATTGTTTAATGTGTTAAATGAGACTTCCATTAGATTACTAAACTTAAGACTATCTTAGCGTGTAATTGCATGTGTTATTTAACCAATCTAATCCCGAACTATCCCTTGTTATCTTTCCAGCTGTCCAGCGTGGCCGCGTTCCGCCCACGCAGCCCGGACTGGCCGGCATGCACGGCCAGTACCAAATCGCCAGTGGGGATCCGATGGGCATCGCCGGCTTCAACGGGCACTCGTACCTCAGTTCCTACATCTCGCTGCTGCTGCGGGCGGAGCCGTACCCCACCTCCCGCTACGGCCAGTGCATGCAGCCCAACAACATCATGGGGATCGACAACATCTGCGAACTGGCCGCCCGGCTGCTCTTCTCGGCAGTTGAGTGGGCCAAGAACATACCCTTCTTCCCGGAGCTGCAGGTCACCGATCAGGTGGCTCTGCTGCGACTCGTCTGGTCGGAGCTGTTCGTGCTGAATGCCAGCCAGTGCTCGATGCCGCTCCATGTGGCGCCACTGCTGGCCGCCGCCGGACTGCACGCCTCCCCGATGGCCGCCGACCGCGTGGTGGCCTTCATGGACCACATCCGCATCTTCCAGGAGCAGGTGGAGAAGCTGAAGGCGCTGCACGTCGACTCCGCGGAGTACTCCTGCCTCAAGGCGATCGTGCTCTTCACCACCGGTAAGTTGCTGGACATCCTCTACAAGGATGTGCCGGCGCTGCTCGCCAAGGTTTCAGCACTCCTCGCCAAGGGTTCCCCCTCCGCCACCAACGATGATGTCCTCGGTGTGGTGCGTGAGCATCTGGACGAGCTCAACCGCCAGGAGCTGGAGTCGCAGGCTCCTCTCCAACAGGCTCCCCTCCATCTGGCTGCTTTTATGAAGAGCGTTGCTGGCGTGGAGGCTGCAGTGCAGCAGGCGGAGCAGGCCCAGAATCCCCTTCCCTCGAGTTCCACACCCACTACTGCTGCGGCTGCTCCTGCTCCGCTGGTTCCCTCCGCCGGCAGCGCCTTCAGCAGCTGCCAGGCCAAGTCCGCTAATTCCGAGATGGATCTGCTGGCCAGCTTGTATGCCCAGGCCCAGGCCACGCCCCCCAGCAGCGACGCCTCCGGGCATAACAATAGCAGTGGACTGGGCGCCTCGCTTCCTACTCAATCGCAAAGCGGTTCGTCCTCCCGCAACCTAACCGCCTCGCCGCTGAGTAATTCGCTGGCCACCGCTCCTGCCACGGCATCCACTTCCATTCCCACATCCTCCTCCAATTCCGCTCCCCTTCCCGCTCCCATTCCCGTTTCAACCGCCTCCTCCACCTCCTCCTCGCTGACTGGTGGAGCCTATCAGACGCCATCATCTGTGGCGGCAGCGGCGGCTATGTTCCACTATCAGACGCCACCGCGCGCCGCCTTCGGTTCGGCCTTCGATATGTTCCACCACAGCACGCCATTCGGTGTGGGCGTGGGGGTGGGCCACGCCCTCGCCCACTCGGGCGGCAGCGGCGGAGCGTCCTTCGGCAGCCCCAGTTACAGGTATTCGCCCTATAGCCTCGCCGGTAGTAGATGGCAGTTGTAGGATCTCACCCAAGTCGATCGACCCTCTGTAAATGTAAATGTATCTGTATCTATAGCCTCTAGGTGAATCCATCTGTAAATGTACTTAATCTAGTGCCTACTGCTAGTTTCTACCTATTTATTGCCTTACCCTAAGCATAGTTTAGTCTAGTGGTAATCTCATCTAGTTTCGTTTAGTGAACTTTGCCAAAAATTTGATAAAACAAAGAATCGATGAGGGAGGAGAGAAAGAAAGAATCTTAAGAATATATATAAAGCTGTTGCTGTTAAACAAAATCTAATCCTGGCCTGTGTTTTTACTCGTTATCGCTTACTAATGCTTAACATCGCTTGTTGACTAATTTTAAGTGTATTATTTATTTATTTATTTGTTTATTTTGGTTTACTAACAAGTATTATGATTTCAACCTTCGACTAACACCGCTTCTTAGCCATTAACTGCAAGACGCTTAAACTTTAATGATTTCTGAGTGAGATCCTACTAGCATTTGTTAAAAACAAATAACTTGTTGATCATGTTAATTATATCTTCTGATCGTATTAAACATTGTACCGTAAATATTAACAATGATAAACTTTTTGGTGTTTCTTAGATGAAACTAAAACAATTTTATCATTGAAATTTGTTCGTGAGTTGAGCATTTTAAAAACAATGATGAAATACTATTAACTTCTTTAATTTTAAAGAAATTAAGATCATTTCATCGTGAAATTAGCTATTGCCTTAAATTAAAAACGATTTGTGTAAAATTGTGTAGACCGTTAACAATCCGCTCAAAAACTCAATTTTCTAGTTAAAAAAGTTTCAGATATATTAAATTACAAACATTTAACATTGAATGAATTGATTTAAACCAAATAAGCATATGCCTTAGATCCTTAAAATGATGAACCAGTTCTGATTAAGTATTTAAGGCACTTTCTTAACCCAAGGTAATGGAATTGTTATTATTTTTCAGGTCATGGAAAACTTTTAATTTTGTTGATTGTCATTCTTCATAATTTCAGCAAGCTTAACAGTTTTCCGTTTCATAAAACCCCCATTTATTTAACACTAATCTTTTCACATTTTTATTTCATTTTTAACAAAAGCTATTCTCACAAAAACAAACAAAATTTAATCTCATCCGCACGTGGCAACAAAACTCTGGACTTTGGGATTACACACACACACTGAATACACACATATGCACGTCTAAAACCTGCACACGCACACAACTAAATCACACCAGCTTATATGCGAATAATTTAAATAATTTTAAAACCTTACGCCTTATACAACATACTTATTTTTAGACAATTAGGTGCCACGCGAAATAAATCACTCAAGTTTTGTATGCAAATAGACTGAATCGAGCTTTTCTTTGACTTTAGCATAAGTTAAGTTTAGCAATTAAGAGTAAGCTAGCGATTATAAGTTCGTTAAGGGAAGGGGGAAACTTAGGTTTTGATTTAGAACTCCCCCCTTTTCTCGTGTCGTGTCAACCAGCTGTCCAGCTCCACGTCGCAATTGTTTTTCCGCTGATCTGAGCCAGGCTTGGCTCAAAGATATCCCATTCCCCTCGTGCTCTTTGTGGCGACGTTTATTGACGTCGAGATACCACATTATGAACATTAATACAACACTCGTTTATGTCGCTTACTTACAAGCCCGACTCCGGCCGACCAGTGGACCAATGGACCAACGGACCAATGGTCCAAGTCCAGGCCTTGGCCAAACTTGCAATGAAAATAATTTTACCATTTCCAAAACGCTGTGTGTGTCGCTTGGCCAAGTTGCACTGAGGAAAATATCTGACCTGTAGGGGTTTTCATTAACTTCAAAATACTAAGCTTTAATGTTGAAATATTGCAAAGTGTTATAAACTGTATCTGGGATAAAACATTTTGTGATTAATCAATTTGCTTTAAGCTATTTACATAAATTGTAGATTTAGAAGTTTCTTTGAAAAATATTTAAAAATCCATAATATTCAATTTTATAAAATGGTAAGCGTGATGCGTTGAATAATGTTTTAAATCAGCATTTTACCTTACAAATCAGTAAATAATCCCTATCGGATTATTTTCCGCTTACTTTTCCCAGTTTTTCTCCGTGTATGCCGCGATCAGCTAACCAAACTCTTGAGGGGGCGTGTGTGGCGTGGAGTTCGTGGTCTCGCTGGCTGAGACCCTGGACCGACTGGCAAGCTGCAATTGCATTTGAATTGGCTGCATGAGTCCATAAACTGCAGCCGATCAATCGCTGTTCCCCACTAGCCCCCTCCCCCTCCCACTTTCCCCTTCCCCGCTTCCGCTCCCCAAATCTGCGAAGTCCATGGTTGCAAGTCGCAGATTGTGGGAGACGAGACACGATCGCGGTAGTAAAATACCGGGTATAGACTTACTAGATCTTCTGCAGCGCATTGACGACATGTCTGCTCCTCCGGCTGCCAGAGCCAATGTTGCATGCCTCACCTCGCCGCGGTGCATCTTCTTCTTCTTCCTCGCCCCGCTGATTGCTGTCGTTCGCTGCAGTTGTTAGGAGTTGTAGCTTTCATGTCTTGGCCACACTTTTTGACCAACATTCTGTGTGTGTTTTTCGCTGGCTTCTCGCTGCCTCGCTGCTTTGGAGCTTCGAAGCTTCAGAGTTTGGCTTCAGAGTTTGGGGATTGGAGTTTCGGAGTCGCGGAGCCGCTCAAATCGTTTTGTGGCGCTCATTGATCGCCTGCGCTACTTTTCCCCCTGGAAAATTGCCAGGCGACGTGCCTTTGGGGCCTGGGACTCTGGCAATTAACAGTAACTTTTGGGCCGGGAACCGACGTCGTTGATTAGAATCATTAAGGGCGCGTTTCGATATTAGGTTTTCGCTCGGCGCTCGTGTATTTGCCCAAGATCCAGATGCTCCGCTCGATAGAGCGGAACTCCTTCGGCGGCTCCACTGTCTCCACAGTTGACCCCACACGACCCGATCCTTATTAAAACTAAATAAAGTTATAACTGTTTTTCTCTGGCGGTCGCGGCACGAACTGCCCGAATGGCCAGAACCGCACAACTGGAGCCCATAAAGAACACAAATCTAATAAAATATAATGCAGCAATTCATAATTTTGTTAAACAGTTCGTCCGTTTCGCGGACGGTTACTCCTTCGTCTCTCCTGCTCCTTTTTCGATATGTCTGGTTGGTTGGGCAACCAACTACTTTACGGTCATTATGCATTTAAAACACGCGGTCACGATCTCTCCCTCGCTGAGTTAGTAACTGCGACGACCCAAAACCAAAAACCGAATACCGAGTACCGAAAACTGAAAACTGAAAACCAAATACAAATACAAATCGAAGCCAAGCTCGTACATAACTACAAGCCGAAAACAGTTAACAAAAGCCGGAGCAAAAAAAAAAATTTAAAAAAAAAAAAAAAATCAAAGCCCAGACGAGAAGAGAGGCTAACCCCTCGAGAAAGCTCCGATCGAAGCGAAGTGGCAGTGCATTTCTCCAGAGCCGCCCGACCTGGAAGTGGAATGTCTTTCACTTTGGCGATGCCAACTCCTCCGCCGCTTCGAGAAATCGCATCCCAGCTCCTCGTCATCTCCGCTGCATTTCAATGAAGGCCCAAAATGTGGCTTTTTTTTTGTGGCACAGTTTCCACCTCCAACTTCAACTGCATCTAGTCTCCTTCCCCGCCAGCGATTATGATTTCCCATTCCGAGGGTCCCGGGGATCGGCCGAGCTAATGGAAAGTCAATTGACAATTATGGCCATGGCCAATGAAGTGATTCGCTGAGCTCGCCGGACTGACCATGTCTAATTTGTATTATAGCCGTTGCCTCTTGTCCGTCTGGCTGTTCATGGCTCGTTGTTCGACGTTGTTTATGAAACCGAATGGTTAATAATGGCTAATTGAATTCCTGCTGCCGCTGGCGACAAATCATTTAGCCTGATTTACGCGCTTTGTGTGGGGGCCAAAAGCCTAGGAAATTTATATGATAACCACTGCCCAATGTTTTCCATTTATCTGTGAGCCAAAACGATCTTGGCCAAACAACAAGCCATGGTTTTGCCTTTCAACTGACACTCGTCTTTTATGGCCAGCTCGGATTCGGAGATGCAGAGATTTGGATACTCGAAGATTCGTAGATTCGGAGTTGCGTGCCATTAACGACATGCATTCGCAGACAGCCGGCCAGGCAATCGGATATATGAACCCAAATCACGATGATATCGGCTGGCAAATGGCCCAATCATTAGCTCAGTCTGCTCGGCTGCTAAATGATATATCAGCTGCAGGTCTTTTTTTTTGGAATCGCCTTGCGCAATCGAGTTAGTCCTCGTGTGTATGTGCAGTGACTAATTAAGCAAACAAAATTTCATATGCAATTTCGAAACGCCATTCTTAACAGCAACGACCATTTAAAACGCTTTAAAGCTATGCAAATTTACAAGTGCTGATGTCTAATTTGAATTTCAAACAGTCAAACACACAGAAGTACACATAAATGTATAAGCGTTTATAAAAAATAGAAGAACCGCTCGTTCGTTGTTGTGTTGATGTTTTAACAGCGGCAATTGATAAGCAAACTTTTGGTGCCTGGCAATTAACACTCGACGGCACACGCTGCGTATGCGCAATCCGGCATTGCTGTAATTAAATGCCACGGCTATTTGACAAGACGGAAAACTCATTGGCTGTCGGCTCGTATCGTTTTCGGTTTTCGGTATTCTGTTTTCGGTTTTCGCGGGGACAGGGCGTTGTCTTGGGGCTTAATTTTCCCCAATTTAATTAACCCAAGTGTTGTACTCGCTGTGATGTTGTTGTTTGTTCGGTTCTCAGTAGAGCGACTTCAATTGAACATAAATCAAGTAGACATGACGTAATCTCCCAGTTTCGTCATCGATCCACTGCCGCAGTGTTGCTGTGTTGTTATTTAGTGTGCTCAACTCGATTGAACTGAGCCGTTGTGGGCGTGGCAGGCGCTCATGTTCAGTTATTGGTTTGACGTGACAGGCAATCGAAAGCTGGAAATTTTCTGCCGGCGCCAGGTGAACTGCCCCAAAGATTATCGAGCATGTATGGCATTTGCATCCAAAACTGACGGTATCCCTTCTTCGCCTGTCTTTCAGATGCCTGCGGCCTGTCCGACGTGACGCACATTGAATCCCTGCAAGAGAAGTCCCAGTGCGCCCTCGAGGAATACTGCCGGACGCAGTACCCCAACCAGCCCACGAGATTCGGCAAGCTCCTGCTCCGGCTACCATCGCTGCGAACTGTCTCCTCACAAGTAAGTCTATTCAAAGTTTATTTGATTAATGAAGTATGAGATAAGCTATTTAATATTGAAATAACCAAGCATTGGTTACCGAATGCTAAATAAATGGTTCCCAAAATGTTACAGAGAGTAAAATTCATTACCGAGTTCAAAGACCTTGCTTTTATAATATGGATTTATACATATTAATAAATTTACTCCTCAGACTTAAAATTAATTTAAGGAATTACATTTTATAATATTTATTTTTTGCTTAATGGAATAACTGGGTTTTCCTTTAAATATTAATATGAAATTATAATTGGCAATTGATTCTGCAAGTGAAAGTATTAATGTGATTGGCACTTTCATGTCAATGGTCATTAAAACTTAAAGATTAATACTCAAACTTGAATTAAAAAAGTATAATAAATGAATATTGTTTTTTGGCTTTCAGATTAAAAATTTGTAACTTAATTTATATATTTTGGTAACAATCAAAGCCAGAAATTCAAACCAAGTTCGATTTTAAATTAAACTTTGAAGTCCCTGTTTCATTTATAAATATTTTTTGGAAACACATAAAATAAAGAGTGGAAAGAGCCTTATATAAACTAAATAATTCCCCTCCTAACTAAAATCTTTTTCCTTCTTCCTTCCGTTCTCCTCTCGCCAGGTCATTGAGCAATTGTTTTTTGTGCGTCTAGTCGGAAAAACGCCAATTGAAACGCTGATACGCGACATGCTGCTGAGCGGCAACAGTTTTTCCTGGCCCTATCTGCCTTCGATGTGACACACGATGTGGCGCCAATTGACAACAACTTGATCATCGGCCGCAGCTGTGGCGGCTGCAACGCTCAACATCAATCCCGGCGGAGGCGGCAGCGGCAGCGGCATCGGTGGCGGTGGCGGTATCGGTATCGCTGGCTGTGGCAGCCACAACATTGTTGCTGCCAGTCATGACCAGCTCGCCAATGTTGCTGTCATGCAGCCAACATACGGCAGCGGCAGCGGCGGCGGCAGCAGCAGCAACAGCGGTTGCCACAACGGTAACAACGGCAGTGGCAGCGGCAGCGGCAGCGGCGTCGGCGTCGGCAACATTTGCAATCAGCAGATCAACAACTACAGCAATAACAACAACAACGGCAGCAGCAGCAGCAATCATATGAGTGCAGGCGGTTTCTTCGGCGGCAGCAGCAGCAGCAGTGGCAACAGCAATACCGACTACTTGGCCACGCCGACAACCGCTTATGCGACACCAGCGACTGCGGCAACATCCACGGTGAACACAACGACGATGCTGTCTAATTACTGCGATGCCGCCACCATGATGATGGCCGCTGCTGCAGTCAATGCAAATCAATGCCTGCAGCAACATCACCAGCGCATGTTGCTCGCGGGCAGCAGCAATAGCAACTGCAACAGCAATAGCAACAGCAATAGCAATAGCAACAGCAATGGCACCGCAGCAATACCCTCGTCGTCCTCGGCTGGTTCGCTGTCATCTGCCTCATCGACGCCAACAGCAACTGCAACTGCAACAGCAATAGCAACAGCAACAGCCCCGCAGCAACATCATCAGCAGCAGCAGCAACAGCAACAATCGCCGCCAAATTTAATCGATATCAGCGAAGTTCCTCTCATTGTGGATGTCAAGTAGTGTAATTATTTATGCATCTAGAAATGGGGCTATAAAACAACCTTGTAGATACCCCGCCCCGCTCCAAAAATCCTAAGACCCAAAACAAACAAAAAAAGGTTTAACGAAAAATGTAAAAAAAAGAACAGGAAGAGCCGCGTAGCTTAATTGAATAATTTTCCATTTGTAGATTTTTGTTGTAACTTTGTACATAATTCTCAAAAAATCCACTTTTTCTCTAGGCCGCCCCAGCTGTGAGCCACAAATCTCAGCTGACATATCCCAGAGAACTTGAAAAGTTTAATCCAAAAATGGCGGCAATAACGTCTTTATATATGAATGTGTATAATATTTAAATGGCACTGAGTTCTACTTAATTTTTAAACCACTAAAATGCAAGAAAATTGATGAGAGAAAGAACACAAAGTGGAAAGAGACATTTCCTTAGCCCTTTCAAAAGACAAAACATAAGATAGTTGAAATATTTATATATGTAATGTAGCATATACACGTATATACATATATAAATATATATAAATGAAACTCTACTCCCAGTGGTTTGCAGAAATATACCAAAAATTTTAAGCTATGTTTACTTGATGTGTGGCAATTTTTTATGTGTGCTTTAGCAATTTTATTTTTACTTTAAGTAAAACTTAAAATTAAATTCGATTCTCGACGGGTTTTTTTTCCGTAAGATGCATCTCAAAGATGCCTCTTGGTTAGAGACCTTTTTCGTTGGAATATGAATGCAAAATTTAGCGAATTTTTTATTTAGTAACCATTACGAGTAAAAACACAAAATGTTCAGTGCAAGTTTCAGTTCTTAAACGATTTTTCGTAAGCTTAAGCATTATCTTATTTATGTGTATAGAGTATGAAAAGTTTTCTATATTTTGTAATAATAAAAATTTGCGTTTATAATGAACTCTTTATTGTGTTTGATTTTTCTGTTCGGTATCTTTTCATAGGTAAGAATATATTATATAATTCGAAGCAACTGCAGCCAAACTGTACATAAATAAAGTACTAAAAAACACTTCACCTTTGTTGGAAAACCATTTGCGAATTTAATAAATCATAACAAGTAAACGAAGAATGAATGTAAATACAATGAATACAAATTAAGTAAAAATAAATATATAAAATCCATTTGATTGCCTATTGAGTGCATCACGTAAACACGTGTAAATACAGTTTTAGGAGTGATTCTGGTGTTTTTAATAATGTAAATCCACTGATAATAAATAATGAATGCAGTTGTAATTAAATAGCAAGTGTCGGCGAGAGTGTGAGTAAGCGGGAGTGTTTGAACATGTGTCCTTATCATTGATTGTAGACCCATCACACTAGACAGACATCAATATCAGCAGCTCACCAAATGATTATTGCGTTCGTTGAAATGCATTTAAGTATTTACCTAGCCTACGAATGATTGTTTTTCGTTTTTTGATCATTTCGACATTCAAAAAGTGTATGCATATGTTAAATAAAATCTCATTTATTAAAAAAAACAACAAAATTGTTTTGTGAATTTAAAAAATATTATTTTTAATATTTTTTGCAACATATTAAATTGTAATTATTAAACTTTCTGGTAATAATTTTTAAACATTTTAGGCTTGTACATGTGGTGCAACTTTTCATTGAAATTCCGATCCTAACTGATCTTTAACCCACAAACACTCATCTGATGACCGCCGAACTAGCGAAACTTTCATAACTTTCCGGGACAACTTCCTCGAGCGAACATATGTATATCTGGGCATTAAGCGGTACGTGATGCAACCAAATACCATGTGTTGCCGGAGTAAATGCCCCAGTCATGCCGAGCCAGCCAGCACCCACCTCGCCGCAAAAAGGCTGGGGCAATTACCCGAACTGCTCTGAAATTGCCAATAATGAGACATGCAACTTGTGCGCTTAGCCTCTGTAATGGATTGCCGTGGATTGGTATCAATTGCGGGTCAATTCCTCTGCAGCTCGGGGCCGGGGAACTTCACGCGCCGACAAGATAATCGCCGGGATTCCCTAGTTTGCCGAGGGCCAATAAAAAAACAAGGAAAGAAACCCAAGCTCCATGCAAAAGGATCGTGCATTGCAGACAGCGTGTAGCCAGCTCAACTCGAGTTAAATCAAGTCAAATCCGATGGTCGGTCGAGAGACCCAGGCAATGGGCAAATTGCCGCTGCCAAATGACAAATTAGATATCGAAAATAACAATTTGATCGACAGCCGATCGCCACTGCTCCACTGCTTTTGTGCAGCCCAAAGTTGCGAGAGAGAAAAATTGGCAAACCCAAATTGGCCCAAGATCCGAAATAAGGAAGGCACTTTGCGGTTGGAGCGTAGCCAAAGGAGTTGATGGAGGTGTTGATTTGATTACTTTTATGTAAGCCCAACTCCCAGTCGCAGTCCCAGTTGGAGTTTGAGTTGGAGTTGAAGTTGAAGTTGGCAAGAGCGATGGCCAAGTCATCGCAATTGCCATCGAATATATTTCACTCCCCCCACTCGAATCGTGATCGGGGCAATTTCAGATGGATGGATTCGGATTTGGGCATCAATTGAAGCCGCGATTCAACTCTTCAGCGATATAGCTGGATCGCTCCTCAGCGGCCGGCATCTAAATGTGAAAAATGATTTGACTTTAATGGCCGCCACTGAGTGATCAGCGGGCTGTGATCATCATCTTCATCTTCACCATCTGCCGATCATCCCCAACCTTGGCCGAGGTGTTAAGATTTTGTGACCAATTGGTTGAGAAGGTAACGGTTGCTTCCACTAGTTACTCCCCATCCTCATCCTCATCCCCATCCCCATCCCCATCCCCATCCGATCCTCTTTGCCATCCCAATCCCCACTCGATTCCCCATCCTTCACACACTCGGCACTTATTTACTCGCCAGTGGAGTTGATCGGAGGTAGTGAGTACTTGGCTCTAGGCACATGATTGATCCGCGGCAGTTGCATTTGCATTCGCACCCGGCTCGTTTGGATCTTGCGGTGGTGGAACGTGGGAATTTGGCTTGAAGAATCGCAATTTTCCGCGCGAGGAGGTGTGTCCGTGAACTATATTTCGTACCGCAAATTGTTGTCTTTAGTTTGCCGATGTGAGCTATGGAAAATTGTGCGCAAAATTGTGGAAAACAACTATTAAATTATTTAGTTGAGCTGTTACAAAACTGAGAATAATTCAATGCACCTAAAACGGCGTTAAAATTGGCTTGCGCAATCTTTTAATATGGCCAAAATATTATAGAATGCACATGGACAAACCCAAGTCTTGGCAAAAGCTGAAGTAATGGCTTAAACATAAAATTGTTTTAACGTTTGTTTGTTATGGCTTTATGGCATTGTGGATACTAGTTGGGGCCCCATAAAAATTGTGCTTTCAGCTGAGAAATTATAATTTAAGCTGCTTTTAATTTGTAGGATACACCTGAGTTTATTAAATTAAATTGGTTTTATTTATTTTGGGATGTGGTAAACACCACCCATAGTAATAAAATTTAATTAAATTTTGTATTGAATATTTTATCATTTAAAGTTGGTAAACAGAATTTCCTTACAACACGATTTTCCTTAATGTTCGCCTGCGTAGCACTTCCCTGGAAAAGAAAGAATAATTATATAAGCCTCCAGTCCGGAGAGTGCTTATATGTGGCACGGTCCATGGTGCATGTTGCATGGTCCACGGTCCTCGTTCCTCGATCCGCTGAACATACAAAGCCGTCACAAAGACCCTAAGATATTAGCGGGCATTTTTCAATCCTTTGACGATGGTCAAAATAAAATATTATTTCGCGCGTTAATACGCAAAAATAAGCGGCCAGTTGGGTGGCACAAAATGCCAAGGCCCGCCGAAGCGGGTGGCAGCAAGCCCACCCCACCCCTCTTCCCTCCTCTCCACCTTCGCATCTTGGAGTCTCTGCCCCATGGCATATTGCAGCAGCAGAAAAAAAAAACCGGACTTGCGCGACCAGGAAGGTGTTGTTGGCTGAGAAATTATGATGGGAGACTGCGCCGAGTCTGGTCAATTGCAATGCGAATTTGTGACTCGTTACGAACGCGTGGCGGTCTTTTGGGGTCAGGAGAGCGGACGGGGGGTTAAGAGGTGGTCAAGATGAGGGGCATAGAGGGGGATAGAGGGGCACCATGGGTGGTCCTTGGTCGCCTCTCGAGATGCAAAATACTTTTGACAATTTGTACTTGTTGGCCCGGCTGCCGTGCGTTATAAATTATCAAATAGAAATAGCTTTCGATTCTCCCTCTGCCATTTTTTCGCGAGTGTCTGACAGTGAAGCTAAATTATTTGGCATGCGGCGTGAAATATGTGTAATTGGAAAACAAATTCCAATTGCCTAATTTATGACTTGTGCGAAATGGCCGCATATTTATTATGTCCCCTCAAGGAGCGTTTTGGGTCATAACAGACAATGTCCTGGCTGGAAGAAGGGGTTACGATTCATTTGTTACCTTTACTAATTAAATTATGACAAAAGGCGACTGCCAGCGAGGGTTGTCCTGGCCACATGTCCGAAAATGTTCATCGTATTCAATTTCATTTTATGTAAATGCTCGTAAATGTGACAAAAAGACAGAGATCCTGCGAACACACACACACACACACATTTCGGTGACAGATAGGCTGAAAGTTCCATTTCAAAACACGCAACGAATTGAAAGGTTTGTTGGGGTTTTTTGGACGTTGCTAATGAAATTGGACACCACAGCAGATACAGGGAACACCGGAGATACAGGAGAGATTCCACAGATACGCGGAGATACACCAACCCGAAATTATGCAAATCACGGAGACTGCATATGCAAAATGTTTAACCCTTAATTGGCTCATAAGGCGGACCGACCGACTGTCTCTCACTCACCTATCGCTGACATCGATAGCCATCGTCGTATACCAAAACGTTGAGGTAACTTTTTCAATTACCCCAAAAACCGACACACAACTCGGTCTGTGGTCTCGCTCTGATCTGGATCTGAATCGCAGTCTGAAACTGAAACCGAATCTGTATCTGTATCTGGATTCGACTCGCCCCAAACTTCCCTGTTAGTTGGCTCTGTTTTGGCGTTGGCGTGAATTATCTGCGCAAACAGCCAGTGACAGGCGTTGAATTGCCACGGCTGCGTCGCTCGTGTGGTGTGTCCAGTGGCACTTTGTCGCATAATATGTTAATCAGCCACATGTCAGCCTTGCCACTGCTGCGGGTGGGTTTTTGGCCAGCGGCATGGGTGGCATTCTGCCACCGGAGGTTGCAGACCCTTACCCTTCGCTTAATTAGAAGTCCAGCGGAGAAGGGGTCACTCCGGATGTCGAGATTCTCCTGGATTTATTCGCTTGTATTTGCATCATACCTACCAAATTGTTCTGCTTGCTAAATAAGCGTGTTGAATCCTAGAAAGTTACAGCTTACAATACTCATTATTACTATTCAAATTATAAATCATTTTGAAAACGTCACTTTTGAAAAGTACCAAAAAAAATATTGTGTATTTAATTTTGAAAATGAATGGTAAAAGGATTGTAGTTTGCTTACCCAGTATAAGAAAAAAAAAGAATAATTTAACTATTTTAATTATTGGAATTATTGGCTAAATCCTTGACCCAAAAAAGTAATTTTAGTTCCTATTATATATGAATTTTATATGTTGGGTACTTACATATACAAATATTAAATACCTTCTTACATTTTCAACAGTTTTTTAAGACTCATCCTGATTTAATTGAATATGTTCAAGGCGCAAAACCCATCTCCAAAACAAATTTATCAAGGGAACGATTTCACAACAGATCCACGAGCAGTAAAGCCATATTTATGATCAATCTGTCACTCCCCTATACAGTTATTCTTGACCCGTTCCAGCCTGCTCCATTTAACACACACACACACACACACATAAAGTCGGACAGTGTTTTGGCAATAAATTGGCATTTAAATTAATTCACCTTGAATTATGTTCTTTGTGCGATAAAAGGGAAACACTCGACCAGACCACGCAGCCCCCCACAGCGTAATTTTCAATCAAAATCGCACATCCGCGAAATTATCATGAACTCAGCAGAGCAGCCATACCATACCGGGACCAGCCATAACGAAACCCATATCCCCGGATCGGGTGAGGAGATTATCAAATTGATTCCAATTAACACTTGCCACCGCTGCAAGGACTGCCAGCCAATTGGACATTGGACATTGGACATTCGCCGTCGGCCGCCGGCGGTTGCATTCATTTCTTCTCGGTCGTGTATGCAAACGTTATAAATATTTCAGTCTTTGTGCGCGGTTTACGGTTAGCAGCCACAACACCCAGAAAGACGGCCAAAAGGGAGCCCAACTTTATGGCCAACACCACAGCATTCCCGATTCCTTTCTCCGTTGCAGACGAAACACGCACATAACTTAAGCGCACTTTGTCGTAATTCGTAATTCGAATTGACAAACGTTTCTTGGCCCGATCGCCCTTTCTCTGTGGCCTTTTATATATATACTATACCCGGTGTATACCTGGTGGCTGAGAGATGATAAATATTCCATAATTTCGCCTGGCATTCAATTTCGATCTGTGTGACACATAAATTACGAATTAACGCTTTAAGCCCAAACAGCTTAAGAGAGCTGAGGGTTTCCTTTGATCAATTTGCTGGCTTGGCACACTTCCTAGAGCTTAAAAAATGGGGAAATCGAAGCTTAGGGGGAAATTTAGTCGGTTTAAATACTGCAAATGGCAAGCCATCGATGTGAACCGATGAAAATGATAGATAATAAATATATATAAATAAAATAAAATAAATTTATTTTGAAGTTATATATTGTGACGTGTAATGTAACTCAAAAGTTATTACACCCTCTTAGGAAAAAGTTATTGTTATAATTAAAGTTTTAATAAATTCGTAATCTACTAAGTGCATTAAGTGGTTTCTCACCTTGGTATCTCTTAAAAAAAAGATTTATGGCTTGTAATAACTGACATTTTTAGGAGCATCAAAACAATCTTAATTAGCTAGTACACCTGTAAATCAATCCAGTAGAGTACTCTCATATCATCCTGACCACATTGTTCCCCTATTTTTTTAGAAGTACAAGCAGAAACTGGTCTCACGTTCGAAGCTGCCAACTGACAAGCGGAGCAGCTTAAATAAGTTGAAAATTTATGAAGTTCGTTATCAAGAGAAATTCATTAGCCAGAATCTAAAACAAGTCGCAGTATACAAAGTATCGCTGTGGAGAAAAACAAAATAATTTCCTTAGAAAAGGATTTCCTCTGAAAAGGCGGCAAAAAACGAAGGGAATGGGAGGCGGGAGTCTGAGACTTAGACAGAAAGTTCAAAAGGAGGAAAAGACCTGCAATGAGGCATACGAAAAGGCGAAAGATGCGCTGCGCACAAAGATGATTAATAATCTCCAAGACAGACTCTGACTCCCAAAAACACTCCCCACCAACCAACTGCCCCAAAAAAAATCCTGCTGGGGAGTGGGAAAAGACAAATGTCTTGGCTTCGTGGTCGCTTTCACAGTTAATTTAAGTTTCCAGGCGAAACGGATGCAGGACCTGGCTGGAAAAAGAATTTTGCTGATTTTGTCAACTGTTTGTCGCTGATAAAATTATTAGCTCTCTTTTGTTTCAGCCCCTGCGATGAAACCGGAATTGGTATGGTATGCTGGATAATTTTTTTTTAGCTGGTGCCCAAAATTTTCGTATTAAAATGCAAATTTTTGGTTAATTTTGTTGTTTTTGTTTTAATCAGCAGGAAGCTGCGGTTGCACTTGGGCGATGATGAATGTTGAACCCCGGCGTATGTCAGGAACCAGGATTCAGGGGTCTCAGAACCCCTGACTTTGCACCCCAGCGTAGAAAATTATTTTTTCTAAATGATTTTCTAATTTCTTTTCTTGCTCGTTCGCATTTTTAATTTCCCGTACTAATAGAGCTTGTAATGAGAATACTTTGTGGGGGGAAAAAATAAATATGTCATTAAGAAATACCGCAGCAATATCAAAATGCCTTGCATCCATAAATAAATTAAATATATATTAGAGTTTACTCGCTCCCCAGTTTGTTTTGAGTTCAGGCCATTAGTTAAACTCTTAGTTAAGTGCTTGTGAGCCAAATTTTGATGGGCTCCTCCAGTCTGCGGTCTCCAGTTCTGCTCTCCTATCTGGAAGTCATCTAAAGACACCGCGTTCGGTTCACAGACGCGAGCGAGAGACATAAACAATTAAACTCATTTGACGATTAATTACGCGCCGCTTCCAAATCGCGTGTGCTGCCACCGCCGCCGGCAACCAGCGGCAAAATTGTTCTATCAAAACACAGCAGTTCAGCAGCTCAGCGAAAAAAAACAAGAAAAAAACACCCAACGACAAGAACAACACCCACAGCTAAAGTACAAATTCATTTGCTGCTAAAGACACTCGAGGAACTTGCATGTCGTGTCATAATCTTGATGAATGCATAATTGCATGCCATGCTCCCAAGCACTCCTCTTCCCATCCACCGATCGGATCTGACTTGAACCCCGATCGAAATGGGTTTAAATGTCAACCAGCATAAGAACGAAGCCACAAGAAGACCCATTTTATAAATATTTTCATGTTTTTCAATAGAATTATGAAACATGTACCGAAAGTTTTTCCTATGCACTTCGACAAAATTCGGATTATAGTCAAAAAAATAAACAATAAAATATAAAAAAATATTTATAAAATAGTAATAAAAATATATTAACTATACGGATTTTTGGAATATTTTCAAAAAATGGGTATTAACAATCCAATTAACAATCGTTACGTAGAATATTACTCAGAAAGTATACACCTAATAACTTGTTAAAAAGTTATATACAATATTTCCTAAAATTTAAACTAGTATTATTTGTAAACCTTCTTTATTCTAAGTATATCTATGCAGCATGCAATATACGAATTATGCGGCAATTAATTAATGAGGAATATTGAGTCCAACCCGAACTAACCGAATCCACATTCAACCACTGACAGCACCACCATCATCTTGGTGCTATTCATTCATAGACGTTGTGCATTTCGGGGAGAGAGCTATACATTGGTGACCTAAATTATTCAATTCATTTTTATTTATTTTTAATTTTTTGATTTGTTGCAATAATTCCCCACCCCCCATCTCCGCCGACACAAAGAGCAAAGGGGTCTGCTTGTTTGTGTAACTATTTATTCTAATTTGACCCGCTTATTGAGAGTCCCGCCCTACAGCACCCCACTCACCCCGTTGGCCATTAATTGATGCAGCCGCTTAAATGATGAATCACTTTTTCATTAAAATTTGACTTTGAGTGTGACCCCCATGTGGCTGGCGTTGACTTTTATGTGGTTAATAGTTAGCTTTCCCATTGATAGACATTCAGCAATTGTCTCTCAGTAAAAATCATGTCATGTGTCGCTTTATGTTTCGTTTCTTTGTCCGCATTTGCAAGTACAATGAACCAGAATCGGTAGCTTCTTCGAGCATCAAACTCGTGCTGAACAAGCTGACCCACAAAGCACAACATAAGACCGATAAAAAATAAAAAATGTGCACGGTGCAAGAAAGAAATGCACAGAATCAGAAAGAGGCAACCGATTGCACACCTGCAAACAAGAAAGAAACTTGGATGTGGGCAGCAATGTGAATTGTATTTAAGCTGGGGTGAAGGCCACCAGATGACAGTTGAACTTTCAGTTCTATTACAATAGCAGCCTTAGTGGTAAAAATGGATCTTACGAATGCAACTCTCCTGTTGCTTTTTGCGGTAGCTGCTTTTGCCGTAAATCCGTCCTTCGGTCAGACCGCAGCAGTCGAGGACTTTCCTGACTTTGATGATAATTTTGATGACGATGTAGGGGTAGTAATAGTACCAACTACTAGCAAAGAAATAACTGAAGCTGCCATTATTACGGGGACCACCGTTTCTTCAGTTTCCACCACTGTCTCGACGACCTCGAGTCAGATTTTGCAAAATGATTCGATCACCTCTTCTCCAGCCACAACAAGTTCCACTACCAATAGCTCCACTAAAGAGTCTTCAATATCTGTTACCAAGAATGACAACTCTACATCCTCTACGAAAGAGTCCACCACAGTTTCAACAACCACGTCTCAAACTTCTACCGCAGAGGATTCTTCCAAATTTTCTTCGACCGCGGCAACATCTCCTTCAGCCATAACTGATTCCTCCACAAAGATGTCTACTACATTTTCTGAAACCACTACACAGGCATCTAAAACTTCTACACCAACCATTTCCACCACAATCTCTATAGCCACAACTGATTCGACCACAAAACTTTCTTCAACAAAATCCACGGTTATTCCAGCTACAACAGATAAAACAACACTTTCTACATCCGTAACTGATTCTACAACATCAGTGTTCACTACAGATTCTTCAACCACAATTCAGACTTCCACAACAACTGAATCCATCCCAACTGTTCCAACAACAACCACTGAACAACAGACGGAAGAGGAACTTATTTTAGCTCTACTAGCTGAGAGTAAGTTTTCTCTTACCGAGTCTGGTGCCTTACTGAAAGATATCAATACAATTAACTGGAATATAAGTGAAAAGCTGGATAATCAAGTGGAGTTCATTGAGCTAATTGAAGACACCGATAAAATTCTTAAAAGCAAGACACAAGAAATATTGTTTTGGGAGGCTGAGCTTCTTCAAGGTGTCGTAAAATCCATTAAAAAGATTGACCTGTATGCCAACAGAACGGTCGATACAATATCTCATTTGCTTGAACTTCAAAAGCTAAATCAGGATCGAGTAAAGGACCTCGAAAATAAACTTAAAGATACACAAGGACAAATTCTGCGCAGATCGAAAGGATTGGACGCCAGGCTTAAGTTTGTTAGCCACTTACTAAGGGATTATATAGAACCAAAAGTAAACCACTTAAAGGACTCCTTTGCCAGAGTAAATAAATCCCAAGTAAATTCTCTAGGTGAATTAGAGAACCTTTCTCAGATAAGGAATCTAACCGAGACCTTTAACATTAAGTTAACATCCTTGAATTACCAAGTAGCTGCACTTAATGAAACTCAAGAGATAAGTTTTTACACTTTAAACGCTGCTCTTGATGACTATGCTCCCACAAACCTCAACGCGATCAACGATCTTTTTCACACTATAAGCATTTCGCAAAAGCAAACTGATTTCTCATTGGCCACTTGCGGATCTTCAAAGTATAGTACTAATATCTATTCAAATTTGAAAAATTATAATAAGCAATACGTCATTAACGGACCAGATGACCTGATTGACATTTCAAAACCATGTATTCTAAATTCTGGAGAGTAATTATTTAAAAAAACTCGTTTAAATGGATCTCGGAGTATTATTAATAAACTTCTTATATTTGATTTATTTTAAATATTAAATATATGAATATGTATTTATAATATTCTTGGAACTATTTAAACCCTTGAGAAAATAGAGCAATGTATCAATTTTTCACGTCTATTCTCGTGCCCAAATAAAAAACAGTTTAAAGCGCAATACTGGAAGAATACATTTCTGCTACGGTTTTTATGTTCTCGAGCACAAATGGTGCATGGCAAATATGCGGACTATTTTGGCTGGCTATCAATTTACAGACAAGGGAACACCGTGAAGCCGCTGAGCGAAACTGATACCGCGATACAACGAGATGTCGGGGACCCCAGAACGAATCCCATGCCAAAACCGAGAACTACAAATGTCTTCCAGAGGCTGGGAGGATGGCGCGAAACAAAAGTCAAAACAAGCGCAACATGAATGAACCTTTTAACATACTTGTAGTTACTAATTCCAGGTGACAGGCGACACAATGAGTCGGAGTGGATTTTTCATTTGTGGCCATTGTTGGACCCTGATGGGATTCGGTACTCGGGAATCGGGGTTGGGGGGTTTTTAGCCGAAGGAGCAGCAGCCCATAAACAGAGGACACAACAAAGTTGTTGCAACAACACAGCATCGGCTGCTAAAGTGACCAAAATCAGAGGCTACCAAAGTAGTAACAGATGCTCGATGCGAAGGTGTTGCCATTGGCCTCTGAGGACCCGCAATCGGGAGTCCCGCATATCTCCGAACTGGAGAGCATCTCTCTGGGCACACGACACATACGTATCCTTTTCCCTTTTGCTTAAGTTTCAGTCTTCTTTTTTTTGGCACAAGCCGGGCAATAAATTATCAGATACAAAATCGAGTCCAGGCTGAAGTCAAAACAAAGGCATAAACACTCGACGGACGCCTGAGATGGCAACAAAGCACGCACTCGACCAATTGACGACACAAAAGACCAAAACAAAACCAGCATCGGAATCGGAATCAGTATCAGTATTGGGCCCACTTCCAGACTCAGAATCAGAAGCAAAACAAAACAAATCGAGAGGCTGCCCAGAATGCTGCATGAACAGAAGAATGCCCGAAAAGCATGGACATAAACACTGACAACATGCTGCGACACGGAATGGCTCGGAGGAGCCCCACATCCATGGGTATGTGGTCTACACCTGAAAAAAACTCAGAGGGTTTTACAAAAAAAAAATATTTTAAAGTCAATACTACTGTTCACAAAGAAAAAAATAAGTTTAAGAAAGATCATCCTTCCAATGCAAAATTGTTTTATTAACTCCAAATCAAACAAATAAATATTAATAAATAATAAATTTGGTATTTTACTCTATATTTTATTTTATAAAATTCTTTTTGAAATATAGTTGGTTATTTTACTTCATTAAAAATTACAAAGAAAATGTATTACTGTCTGGAAGGGTCATAAATGGTGACATGAAAATTAAATAAAATGTGTTGTAAACTACCATTTAATTAAATACACATGTTTTTTACATATTGAAGTTACTATTTTTCCAAGTGTATAGAGTGTGCGACTCTCTTCTGTCCTTGGTTATCGGAAGCAGCAGCAGACGCACCAAATGACAACTTCGAGGGCAAAGTCAATGAGCGCCTTCCTGCTCCCTGTTATCGCCTGCTGCTGCCTCTGCTGCTGCGTTGGACAATTTCCCTGGCTCCCCTGGCTACTCCTGCTGACCAGAGGACAAAAGGATCCCGGCGTGTTGCAAATCAAAACATGGAAACAACGACAGCAAACAAAACTCTGAACATGCGTCGCAATGCTAAGAAATATTTTCACTCGGCCGGCTGAAACATGCAAACAGCTAAAGTTGTTCAACTTAGTTTATGGAGCTGCTTGTGTTTGGTGAAGAAGTTTTTAAAGTGGGATTTGGGGGTATTGAAAATTAAGAATAATTCCGTTTTATCTTTCGCAAAGAAACACAGAGCATCTTTAGATTTTACCCATCTTTCTATTCCGCTCTTCCATTTCAAGATAACCCCACCCACCTCTCCACGATTTCACATCGTTACCACTTAATTAAACCCAATTAATCTGCAATATAAATTATTAAATTTCATAAAGCAACAAAAGTTAAATAACTTACACACAGACTGACGAGAGATTTCGACACCCAAAACCAAGTAACCAGAAAGAGCCGCAAAAACAGCAACCTCATCGCAGAGGCAGAAGACCAAGACGATGGAGATGATGATTATGAAGCCGAAGAGAGTGGCCCAGAGTTTGGGATACTGGAATGGGGATATAAAGGAGGGGGTGGTCGGGGGGAGGAGGGAGTCTTGGGCCACAGGATTGGTATCAGAATCGAGCCTCGGCAGCTCCATGCTGTGCGCGATTCATGTTTGGTGATTAAAGTAAAGTTCGTAAATTTACAGTTTTCATCAAAGGGGCGACTGTTAGTGGACTGGACTCGGCTTTTCACAGTGCTCTGCTCTGCGAGCAGCCAGAGTTCGCCCAGAGTTCAGCCCAGGTGACTGTGACGGTGACTCTGTCGATGACTTCGAGCCCCAACTCCAACTCCTAATCCAGACTCTTGCACTACACTCGAAACTATAATTGCGTATTCTGTAAAGTCATTAACTTTAACTGGCCTTTCAATATTTAATACATATATATTAAAGAAAATGTGTGCCAAAGTGTGCAAACAATTTTTAACGAAAACTCCTTACTTTCATAAAAGTCAGTAATGCTCAATATTTTGCAACAGAGAAAGGGAGAAAAATCTATTTTGGCACAGTTCTTTCTATTTTTGTATAACGATCAAATGTTTACTGCAAACAATGCAAGTATAGGAATAAAACTATTAATTTACTTTTAAAATTGCTGCTTTTGATTTAGGAATTAAATACAAGTGTTGAAATATTGTTATTCGTTTTGGTTTATTTGTTTTATTTTAAACTATAGTTCTTGATTTTTAAAGGAAGTAACTAAAAAAAATTCAGAGCCCATACAAATATCTCTTTATAATCTCTTTAAATATTTATTTTAGTTTATTTTACAAAATAATATCAACTTATATTTTTCTGCAAGTGCAGACACACATATTCGGCGAGGCAGACTCCTTTGGCTTTTCCTAAACTGATTTCCAGCAATAAGCATTAGTTGAAAATTGCAATTGTTTTTGTAAAGGGCGGGGAGGGGCAGCTCTGCGGGAGGGGATGGTAAAGGGGGTGGAGAAGGGGGAGGGAGACTGGGAGGCAGGAGGCCACACCGCGGGGGAGTGCCAGTCCCAGTGCCAAAGTTAAAGCCAAGTGCCTGTGCCAGCGATTGCACGATTCCCTGCCCCCAAAGAGCGGATCTCGAGGAGGTGATGCAGGAGGCACATCATCAACGTCCCCAGCCACGTCGTCAGTGCAGCAGAAAAGCTGCACAAAAAATCCAATTGTATTTAACGAATTTCTCGATGCTGTTGTTGTTGTTACTGTTGTTGCAGTTACCGCGTTGCTGTTACCGCGTTGCTGTTGCTGTTGTTGTTGCTGTTGCTTTTGTTGTTGCTGTGGCTTCAGTGGAGTCCGGAACGGAGGGCCGTGAATCATATGGACACCATTAAATGGAAAGGTACGAGCAATGGCAATCGCCAACACGCGTCAATTGTGCGCGCTGTGTGAGACCGAAGGAAAATGCTGAAAAGCTGAAAACCGAGAACCCAGAAAATCTGCGCAGCGATATTCACCAAAACTTTTCGATCGAGTGTGGACGCGTGACACGAAGCACAAAGATAAAACAAGTTCAACAAACTAAAAAACTTTAAATTGATCCTCAGAACAATTATGTTTTCTAGTATGAGATTTGTATACCAATTATTTAATTTTAATTATTTTTGTAATCTTTGTAAAACTGAAATTATTTAAGCTCTGATAATGATATATTTGGACCAGATTTAGCAGTTTCAATATCAATGACTCCAAATTGTAAATAATAATAATAAAATACTAATAATATTACCAATGTTAAAGTAATCTCAAAATATTATAACCATGGCATTTTGATATCACCAATATAATTTTAAAATATCGAATCATTTTAATAGCGTTTTTATTTAATTGTACATTAAACTTTATACTTTACGTATTTTTACATAGACAGCTTTATAGGCTAAAATTATACGCAATGAGTACTTCTTAACTTATTGGCACGAGATCATCACCATCTGTGATTGCAGCCATAAAGGCAGTTGGGCCGGGGTCTCTGTTAGCTGGAAATGGGATTCTGGATTCTGGGATTGCGCGACGTGAAAATGACCCTGGCCGGATTGGCGATGTGCGGTGTCAGGGCTTATCAAAAGCTTGAAACTGGCCCCGCCACAACCGCAACCATTAATAAAACCTAATAACAACATAAATGCCAATATCTTTTTAACAAATTTGCCCGACTGCTCGGCGCAGATTTCGATAAGTGAACTAAATAACCAGATTAAAGCAGATCGTAATAAATGTAATTTGAATTTGCCGCACTCGGCAATCGCTTGGCGGTAGAAGTGTTCACTTGGTTGGTTGGCTGGTTGCTCGCTCAGTTGGTTGGTTAGTTGGTTGTCTGGAGCTGCAGAACCACATTACTTAATTGCCTGGCCGAGGATATCACCAGGCAATCGATCGTCACGGATTACGGACGTGTAATGGACCCGGCTCAAATTATGCGTTCGAAAGGGCTGCTTACACCGCGGACAGGTGTTGATTGCCCGGCCTCCTTTGCATTTCGCCGCTGGCAGTGCCATCGGCTGATATCCGAGATGATGAGAAGATGGGATGGGATGATGATGATGCTCCCACGGATGATAGCCAGCCGAACGTGCTGCAAATTATTGCACTTGCAACGTGAGGAAGAATATTTTGCAGAGGAGTAGGAGCTACTCCAGCCAGAGCACTGAACTTCCACTGCTCCGCTCTTATTACTTCATTTAGTTGTGGGCCACAGATTCCGGGTTCAATTAATGTCTACTTTGTTTGGCTAACAAATTGAACAAACTTGCAGTTGCGGGCCGCAACATGACTCTATTTTATTTGCAGCCGCAGTCGCTGATTATTGCCTTTTGCTCTCGCTGGCTGCCAACGACGACGACGAAGACAATCAGCCGGGCTGCAGTGCAATTTGCCAGTGGAAAAACAAA